TGACCGAGAGCCTTATCCTCCAATACGAGTCAAGTTGCGTAAATTTTCTTGTACGATTAATCCTGGTCGTTGAGAAAAGACGTACTTTTCTTTAACAATGCTCACAACGTCATAGCTTGCTTCCATACTATCCTTTCTCTTGTGAATTACCGCATACGGTTTAGGTAGTTTTACTTTTCTTCCAACAAGACGATGATGTCCAATGACAAGTTCGGCTGAATTCTATAATTATTTAAGTTTTTTGAAATGTCTTGTTCTTGTTTCATCTTACTTCATTCAAAGTGACATTTCCAAACTTGACAAGAGATAAATCAACAGCTTCTCCAGAATCAAAACTTCCTTGAAAGTCAAGTACAAGTAAATCTTGCTTTTGACTGGACTGATTATAAGGATGAATGACAATGTTGACCATTTAAATAATAAAAAAAAAAAGTGATAATGTGACGCGTCTAAAAAAAGCATGCGCGAATCAGAAAAAGAAATATAATAAAGCATACGATCGATGAATGTGTTTAGTACACCATTTTCAGAAATTATTCGTACCAGCAACAATTGCACTTTAGTTGGCTATCAGTCTTTATCATTAAAAAGGCAATGAACTTGATATTTTTGATATATATAAGATAAATGCGGTCAATACTTATGGATAACATGTAACTGAAAAAAGTTGTTAGAGACTTTATATAAATAGTCTGATCTTGACTTCTTTTCCTCTTCTTTTCTTCTTTGGCCCAAAAAGTAAAACCAGCTATTCCCCAGCTAGCCCTAAGGTACGTTATATTCTTTACTATTGTAAGAAACTGATATGTAGTATTATAGATCATAAAATCGAAACAGTACCGGTACTAGCTGGGGATAGTTTGGTTCTTACCAAACTTTGGTCCCATCCACTCCTTCAACCCCTTCCGCTCCTTTGGCCACTTTCTCTTGCTCTCTCTCTTACTTTTCCGGGCTGGTTATCGCCAGCCCTAATTAATGCACCTCGGGTAAGATATTAATCATCTCTTTATGAGTTTACTCATTTTTTTGTCTCTTTTTTTCTCTTATAAATTCTCTTCTTTATAATGTAAGTATTTAATATCAATGTAAATAACTGATTTACTAATCATTTCTTTATTCATTCTTTTGCTTCTTGTAGCCTCTCTTTTGTCATTATTTGCTGTCTCTTTTATTATTATTTGTTTTCTGAAATTATCATTTTTTTATCAGTGTGCGAATAATTTGTGAATAAAGTGTATATTATTTAGATGAAAGATCATTCAATGTAATAGGAACAGTAACAACACACCTAGAATAAAAAAAAATTAGCTTCATGAATACTATAAATACGAAACTTACATCCAAATACGCGTCTTATAAATTTTGAATAATTCACGTACAAGTTCTCTAAAGTCAATACGATGTTCTGCTTCAAAATAGAATGTCAACTTGCGTCGATCCCATTGATACTCTGCATCGACCACCTTCATCGGCAATTTACGTTGCTTAATTCTCTGTTGACATATCTCAAGTGCCTTTTGTTCATCCTGCGCCTTTATGATGAACATTTGAATTTCATCAGGTGCTGCTAGTCTAAAGATGCGTTTGATATGAATTTCCTTTTTAGGCTGCTGTTGTTGCTGTTGGTCTTCATGCGCATTAGCCGATTCTAGCCTTGCTTGCTTTTTTTGTTCCAATTCGGTCACTTGATCCACAGTCAACGTGTTGGCCACGACCTTGCCCAAATCTTTTCCACGGTCACCTTCGACAACAACAAGATCGCCTATACGTGGATAAAAGTGAGGTGAATAGAAAAAGTCGGTTCTGGAAGCCTTGAATTCGACCATGAACAAAGGTGTGTCCAGACGACTGATGGGAACACCTTTACCAAGCTCATTTAAGCTCTTTGAATCTAAATCTTCTATGATATGAGGTACGGATGGGGGAGGGACGGCCATGGGAGCTGTGGGTTGATGTGGGTGAGAAGAGGGCATGAATGACGGATTGAATAAATCAGATCTAAACGGCACAGGAACAGGATGTTGAGGGTAATGATAGATGTGTGTATTTTCAAGCTGATCTGCAAGCTGCTGAATATTAGTAGGAGGCGGCGTGTTCAATGTGAGTGACTGTCGTCTCATGAGACTGTAGTTGCTATTGTCAGGGAACGCATATTCTTGCTGTTGTTGCTGTTGTTGTTGTTGTGACATGCGTCGTTGGAGTTGCTCCTTGTCCCCGAGTGACATTTCGCTTGCATGAAAGAATCGAGATGATCGTCTACGTTGCTGTTGAATATCTTCCAAGTGCTCTGATTCACGACGAGCGAGCAAGTGAGCATGTTGAGACTGTGACAATAAGCCAAATGCAGCGCCGGATGACTTTGAACGAGATCGGATGAAGGACAGATCCAGGCTGTCAAACTCTTCCTCTTCTTGCTCCTCTGCCATAGGTTCTAGCGAGCTCTTGTATTGAACATGTTGATAAGGTTCTTCATAATCATCATATCCGAAGAAGGCGGGATCTTGACCCATTGAAAACGAAAGGCTTCGTTGTTGACGGTAAATAGGCTCGAGTGATACGCCAGGCAACATGGGTACAGAAAGGACACTGCTTGGTACCGTATCCTCAGGCAATGCGGTTGTAGGTGCTATACTGGTCACAGCAGTTGATTTTCCTTCTTCGTCAAAGATCGATGGTCCTTCCCATTGAAACCCATTGAATGAACCCCAGTTGCTCTCAGATGCAATCGAGCTTCTCCTTATCGTTTCTATAGTATCATTGATCGGAGAATCATGAGGACTGATTGATTTCTCTACAGCCACTGTACTGCCTCTTCTACTACCAACTGCTTTCCATGCATTATCCGAATCTGTTGATTTTGTGACTGAAATAGCATTATCGTCAGCCTATAAACAAAATAAATAAATAATTATACGGCTTTTCACTCTTATTTTAAATTTATCATTCTAGTTACATTGTTTAGTTTACTATGATTACTTTTCTATTAAGAAACAGGTTTTAGCGTGTCTTTTATATTTGCTCAGTGCTTTACCTGTTGAGACATGTATAGTTATAATGTGATGTATATATATATAATGTAATGTTGCTAAGGTAACTTATTATTACTATTACTACTACTGAAGCACACTATAAAGTACCTTTATCTAGTTTTACACAATCTAAATGTCTATTTTTGCAAAAAGGAAAAAGAAAAAGAAAAAGTCCACAGAATGTAAAAATAGCTTTGGTTGTTTTTCTATGTTTCTTTTTTTTTTTTTGATTAATTAGTTAATTTCTTTGTTTTAAAAAAAGAGAGAGAGAGAAAAAAAAAAAAGGAAGAAAGTGAACATTACGGAGTTTTAAGAACGTATACCGTTTTTCTACTTTAGGAAGTATAAGTTTCTTTCCCGCTTGCTGTACTTTCCAAAAAAGGAGAGAGGCATGAACCCAACCAGTTAGATGCAAAAAAAAAGGCTTTAAGCTCTGCATAATAAAAGCTTGTATTGCGTTCCATTGTGTGTGTGTGCGTGTGTGTGTGAATAGTTATAAGGTTTTTGATATTCATAAAAAGTTTAATAATAATTGCAATATATATCCTTTTGATCTATTACAGTTAAATACTTCATTATTGTATATTTATCTTTTTGATTTGAAAATAATGCAACATTATATTACATTATGAAATCATCGTCTTTCTCTCCTTTTCTGCGCCGTTAATATATGTTCTTTAGAAAGCACGGTATTTTTTTTCATATATGACTTATATACAAGTATGGATTATAACGTGTGCACATATACGCCCTATTGATATGCTATGTACACAAATAATCACAACTTTATAAACGATGTCATATCACCAAGGAGACAGAAAGCCATGGTTTCTACGTTTCATTTTTCAATCTCAGACACAAACAGGTGGGATTGAGCTATGCTGTAGCAATGAAGTGAGAAATGAGCATTCATCTTTCTCTTTCAACACATCATGGCCACAGCAGCGCGCCCATTATATCAGCGTGTCTCTAGTAAAGTGTGGAATGCGACTATTAAAATACCAGAGTTGAAAACACCTAATCCTGCAATTGCTTCCTCATTTGATCATGATGAAGTGATGCACAGATTACTAGATTTGTTTGAGCAATATAAAGGCCGCATACTAGTGATCACAGGAGCAGGTAAAGAAGTGAAAAGAAATAAATGATAAGCATAGCAACTCGTGATAGTAACCTCTGAGAGATAGGATTATCAACAGACTCTGGTATTCCGGACTATAGAGGTGACCAGGTAAAATAAAATCATAAAAAGATCCAGGAAAAATGGATTAACAAAATAAGAAAAGGGAACCTATGTGCGTAACCCAAGACATCGACCCATTCTTTACCATGAACTTCTTTCTTCTCATCTCTATCGACAAAGATACTGGTCTCGTAGTTATCTAGGATGGCCAAAGATGTCCCAAGCTTTACCAAACGGCTCGCACCATGCACTTGCCTTGTTAACGACTCAGTCTTCCTATATCCAAAACATCATTACACAAAATGTAGATTATCTTCATACCAAGGCGAACACGCCCGTTGAAAGGCTGCTTGAACTACATGGTACACTTTACAAGGTGGAATGTATGGACTGTGATGCAGAGTATGACCGGACCCTGTACCAACACCGTATCCATGCTCGTAATCCAGCCTGGAATGCGATGTTAGGCGGTGAAACCAAGATCAATCCTGATGGTGATGTGGAGCTACCAGATGGTGTAGCTTACGATGATTTTGACATTCCACCTTGTACTTCCTGTGGTAGTCAAAAGATGAAACCCAAGGTCGTCTTTTTTGGAGAAAATATCAAACCACACATAACCAAAAGAGCAGAGCAACTCGTGAATGACTGTTCTGCCGTTGTTATCATCGGCTCCTCACTTGCTACTTATTCTTCTTATCGACTCGTTAGAATGGCTCATCAACAAAATAAACCCATAGGTATCCTTACCAAGGGACCAACGAGAGCAGATAGTCTGATGACATGGAAAGGTGAAGTAGGCTGTACTCCTGTATTAGTTGAGCTATCAAGGCGCTTAAAAGGAACAATGAAGACGACCAAGACATGAAGAAGGATAGTTTTGAAAAGAAAAACTTGATTTAATTATGTTTATTTGATTGGCCATTTCCAAAATAAATTTTTTTCTTCTGTCTCTCTCTGTTTCTTTCTTTCTTTCTTTCATTTTAATTTCCTCTATATTCTTTGTTTTAATTGTGTTCTACTTGGCTCACTACTATTATCTTATTTCAATAGTAGTCGTTTTATAAAATTTAAACACATATACATTTTCCTTATTATTTATAAAGCCCCGTATCCAAATTTTCTCTTTCTCTCTTTCTCTCTCTCTTTAAACCCCCCCTTTTTTTAACCACCCGCTTTTTTTTGTAAACAGAAATACTTATTTTTGTATGTCCACCAGATCCACTAAAAAGGTCATCACTGAGCCTTTTGACTTATCCAATATAAAAACAACAGCTCAAGCTGCCTCTACAATGCGTAAACGAAAAAGGATATTTGGACTGGAAGAAGCGCCTACATTTTATCCAACAAAAGAAGAGTTTAAAGACCCTCTAGCTTATATTGAGAAGATTAGCACTGAGGGTGCAAAGTATGGAATTATAAAGATCATCCCGCCTAGTGATTACAAACCTGAGTTCTGTTTAAACACTGAGGTAAACTCTTTATATAAAGAGAAACGAGAGAGAGACGTTTATTCATTCTACTGTAGAATTTTCGCTTCAAAACTAGGCTTCAAAAGCTCAATAGTATGGAAGGCGAAACCCGTGCAAACGTCAATTATCTAGAGCAGCTCACCAAATATCATATACTCACTGGCAAACCTGTTGCCAAAATACCGCAATTGGATAAAAGACCCATTGATCTCTATAAACTGAAAAATGAAGTGGCCATGAGAGGCGGTGTTCAAGAAGTCATCAAGCAAAAAAAGTGGGCTGAAATAGGCAGAGTATTAGGCTATGCTCGAAAGAACTGCACATCCATGTCAAATGCTCTGAAATCAGCTTATACGAAGATCATCTTGCCTTATGAGATATGGTATGCTCAACATAAGGAAGATGCTGAAAATCTCCTCAAGAAAAAAGGTATGTGTCACCACTACAGAGGATATGTGCCGGAGATTTATTATACATGTTAGATATTTCCTACTTGAATGACGATAGTAACGATACTTGTGAGATCTGCCACAAGAATGAAGATGAAGAAAACTTGCTGCTATGTGACGGATGTAATCGTGGCTATCATCTCTATTGTCTTACACCGCCCTTGTCATCTGTACCCAAAACGGACTGGTACTGTCTCCAGTGTTTGACAGCCGTCGGCAAGGACTATGGCTTTGAAGATGGCTCAGAGTACACACTTGCTGGTTTTCAAAAGGTCTGTGATAAATTCAAAAAGGAATGGTTCGCTAAAGCAAACGGTGAAGAGCGACCGGTGACAGAAGAAGACTGTGAGAACGAGTTCTGGCGACTTGTCAATAACCCCCATGAAACATGTCAAGTCGAATACGGCGCTGACCTACACAGTACACAACATGGAAGGTAAAAAAAGGATATACCATTTCATATTTTTTCTTACTCAAACTGTCTTGTGTGTGTTTCAGTGGCTTTATGGCTCCTGAACAAATGCCACAAGGTGCATTTGACCCATGGAATTTAAATGTAATTCCAGTATCGCCACACTCCTTGTTTACACACATCAAAACGGACATCAGTGGTATGATGTCTCCCTGGTTATACATTGGCATGTGCTTTTCTGCCTTCTGTTGGCATAACGAGGACCACTACACATACTCCATAAATTATATGCACTGGGGTGAAACCAAAACCTGGTACGGTGTACCCGGCTCGGATACAGCAAAATTTGAAGAGTCGATGCGAAAGGCGGTTCCAGAACTGTTTGAACAACAGCCCGACCTGCTATTCCAATTAGTCACTATGCTCAGTCCCGAAAGATTGTTAAAAGAAAATGTCAAAGTCTATGCTGTCGATCAAAGACCAGGCCAATTTGTCGTGACGTTTCCTAAAGCATATCATTCTGGATTTAATCATGGTGTAAGTGTTTATATATATAGTGTTGTCCTTTATTAATTGCCCTTAAGTTCAATTTTTGTGAAGCTGTCAACTTTGCTCCAACAGATTGGGTGGAACATGGATTAGAATGCGTTAAACGTTACAAAGAATTTAGAAAACAGCCTTGTTTTTCACATGATGAATTGCTTGTCACTGCAGCATTCAATTTCAAAAATAGTCCCAAATCTGATCTTGAATGGCTCAAACGAGGGTTAATGGACATGCAACAAAGAGAACTAGAGGAGCGTCAAACTGCTCGTACAAAGAAGATCAAGGAGACAGCAATACCAAAAGAAGATGCACGTGAAGAACTCCAATGTGATCACTGTCATTGTTACACCTATCTGTCTTTTATTGGTTGTGCCTGTACAGAGAGAGTGTCATGCTCCGATCATATATTAGAGGTATATATCGTGATACATATTGCAAACAATTTGTTTATTCATCCTTGCCTTTAGTTATGCGAGTGTCCTATGAGCTCTAAGACGCTTTATCTTCGTTTTTCAGATAAAGAACTAGAAGAGTTGGTCAATAGCATAGTCAACAGTGGCTTCAGTCCTGAAAAATGGAAGCAAAAGTTAAACAAGGCAATTCAGACAAAACCAACAATAAAGGCACTAAACGAGATATTAAAGGAGGGCGAAGAGATAAATGTAAACCCAGAAGACTTGGCTGCCTTGCGTGATTTTATAGAGATCATGGATCAGTGGGTGACAGAGGCCGAACGCATACTGGACTTGAAGTCAGATTCTAATAAATCAACACAAAAGGGACGTATCGAACGTATTCAGAATTTATTAGAAAAGGCATCTCGAATTGGCTATGATTTTCCATTGGTACCTCAGTTGAACGAATACTTGGACCAATTACTTGCCTATGAAGCCACAATCACAGACGAATTACTGGCATCCAATGACGAACAACTGCAGTACCCTATTTATGAACAAGGCAAGTCACTTAAGGCGGACTCTAAACGATTCGCTCAGCTCAGAAGCACGATCGAATCTCGCTCTTGGTTGACAGAAGTCGAAAAGGTGCTTGCCAAACCATACAATGCAAAATCAATAAGAAGGCTCATAAAGAGTGCATCTGACCTGGGCATTACCGAAGGACCTTGGCCTGAGCGTCTAGCTACGATCGAACAAGAGGCTAAACGCTGCTTACAGTTTATTGAAAACCTTTGCCGCGGAAGACAAAAGATTGGACTTGATGAAGAAGCTAGCGTATTCACTATTGGCCAAAATCGTGAGAACCCACAGCTCTCGTTCACGCTCGAACCTCATCTCCTAACTCGTCTGCAGAACGCTATAGCTCGTTCAAAAGTTATTCTCAATCAGGTCGATGAGATGCTCGCGACAGAGTGTACTCGATCCAACGTCCTCGAACGACCTGCAGTGACCGATGGTCAGAAACTGATGTCTGTCTGTAGAGAAATTGTGTTCAAATCAGAAAAAGTACAGAGACTGTCTCAAGCCCTCTCAAACATGAGCACATGGAACGAAAGGGTCAGGACAACATTTATGCATGGCCGACAAAAATCTCTTGATCATGTCCTCCGAGAAACCTTGTCGAACGTTGAGACGATCACATCCAATTTTGAAAGAATTGACTTGTATTGTATCTGTCGTAAACCAGAGTCTGGAATTATGGTCGAATGTGATATCTGCAAAGAGTGGTATCACAATCCATGCGTCCGAGTACCTCGAAGCGTTGTTCGTTCGTCCATCTCGTATGTCTGCCCAATCTGTGATAACGATTCAAAAAAGGCTTTGGCCCACGTATCACGACGACCGACGTTGCACGAACTTCAAACACTTATGCAAATTGCTCAACCACTCATGTTTCGCCCAAAGGATTACTCATTGATCAAGAACATTTACACTCTCATGAACAGTTTCCAGTCACGTGTTCAGACATTCTGTCGCTCACATCTTGACGTTGATCAAGTAGAAGAAATAAGACGATACTTACGAAGCTTAGAAGGACTGGAAGTCCAGTTACCTGAAGAGACTGAGATACTGAGAGCCAAGCTTCAAGAACTTATGCCCGCCTATTTACAACGAAAAAAATCATCCAATGCTGCCAAGAATGAAAAAGAGAGTCATCAGAAATCATCTAGCAAGACATCAATAAGCAACTTAATACATAAATCAAATCATATGGAACCAATGAGCATTGACTACACTACAAGTTCTTCTGCTGTGCAGAATAACGTGAACCCTAGAATCGAGCATTCCACTAATAATATAAATAATATTACTAATCCAACATGTAAGTTAAAGTTAAAAAAAGATGGCTTGGTTTAACTTTATATACATATATAGCTCCATCACGACTCTTACTCAAGACAAATGGCATAAAACGACCACTAGAAGATGCACCTGCGCCACCCAGAACCCAAAAGATCATAAAACTTACCGTACGACCTCCTACACAGCCAGTGGTCAATAAGAAGAGACCGTTTCAATCAGAAGAAGAAAAGAATAAAGCAAAGAAACAAAAGGCAGTGAATTGATGATATTCACACACTCACACAAACTTTATAATATGTACAGCTCTTGTAAATTTAATATGTGAATATAGGAAATTGAAAATAAACCATCTCCTCTCACACTCTCCGTTTATGAACATACTTTTATCCTTCTTTTCTCGTTGTATTTTAAATTGAAAAAGCGTCCTTTTTGTTTAAACATTGTCTTCCCTTTTGAAAAGAACAGCTTTATTATTAGCCACGTGTAAAAGGACAGAGAGATGATAGACAAGTATGTGTCGCTACCATATTCGAGTGAGGCCGAAAGCCTATTTTTGTCTTCTTTCTCACGAATGCTGATTCGCTGTTGATGATTATGGAACATACACTATCCTTTACTTGTGCCAAGCAATATCAATGGGGGGAGAGATAAAGTAGGAGAGGGGGGTCATGTTAGATAATATAAATATCAACGAGATTAATGATAAGGACGATTGGTCCTGTTATAAAGATTTATCAAGGCAAAAGATATTATTATAAAGATCACACACATTTTTAAATATTGTGATCTGGTCGAACAGCATGATTTTTAATTGATCAAATATCAGCCCATGCAGTCTTCTTTGAGTATATATTTGCTAAAGGGAAAGGCCACTTTTTAACATGTTGGAAGATAATACTTTCCTGGAAACCCCCCATTACACCCTTTCTCATGGGATCAGCTGAGCTACTATCCTTTTATAGGTCTTTCTCACGCAAAAAGATTACTTTCCCTATTTAATATAGTCTTTGTACAACGATCCCATCGAGTACAAATCATCATCATTACTCGAAAGAAATGAACTGAGCATTGACAGATGATAAAGTTGGAAATTTTGTTAAGAGACAAAAGAAAAAGGAATTAGCAAAAAAGGGTAGTAAAAGAGCGTGATCTTCATTATTGCAACATGGTAACTGGGTTACCTTAGTAACATATTCCTAAACTCCGTACGCTTATTTAAAAATTGGAGATAAAGCAAGAGACAACGACAAAGATTTAGTTCAAAATGATTTCAATTGATTATAAAGTTTGTAGTCGTGGGAACCTATTCCCCCCAACAAAAGAGAGCTGATGGTTTACATGCGTGCAATCATTGTCAGTAAACAAAAGAGACCCTGTATTTGCCTTTAAGTTCAATGTATCATTTAGATCGTCCAATCAAGCATCTACGGACTTCCGGGTTTTGAATAAAAAAAGAGAAACATATGACCTGTGAAAGGAAGGGTAAAGCTAAATTTGGCAAAAACTACAACTATTGGGTCACTTTTTCATGGTTAACCAAAAAAAAAAAAAATTAAAAGAAAGCCTGGTATATAAAGAACCCAGCGCTTTTTTCTCCACTTTATACAAATTATACTTTTTTCTTTTAATTTCCTTTCTTTTTTTTGTTGAATGTCGATTCACGAAGAAAAAACAATAGAAAAGCAACATTCCTTCAGTGATATTGGAAGTGGTAAGTTGTCACTATTTTTTGACACGTTTCCCAAACATTGACACTATCCATTTTAGATCATGATTTTGAATACGGTGCTGAAACGACCTTAGACATCAATCGTGAACACGCTGGTTCATCAAAGCTTGCATACTTCAACGTCGTATGTGTAGTCGCCGGTACCGGTACTCTCGGTTTACCACAAGCGCTTCAACAAGGCGGCTGGATCGGCTTGTTAGTTATTTTCCTATCTTGGGCAATGTCTACCTATACCGGTATCATCTTGGTCCGCTGTCTTTATGCTAACGGCAAAAATCGTCTCAACACTTACAAGGACGTTGCCACAGCTGCCTTTGGTTCCATTGGTGGTTGGATCACATTTTTCTTTAATGCCTGGATTGTCGTCGGTGTTCCTGTTCTCTATACAGTCCTTGCTGGTTCCAACTTTAATCAACTCTGTAAAGGAACAGCTGGTGAGATTGGTCATGTTCCATGGACTATTATCTGTTGTTTTATTGTCGCCGTTCCCTTTATCATTGTTAAATCGATGAAAGAAGTCGCCTGGATGAGTGCCTTTGGTGCTCTTGCTACAGCCATTGTTGTCGTCATTGTCTTGATCTGTGCAGCAATTGATAGAAAAAATCAAATCAACGTTCACCATGACGCTGTTATTTGGAACATGTTTCCTATCGCCTTAAGTACCATCTCCTTCAGTTTCGGTGGTAATGTCATTTACCCTCACGTCGAAGCCTCCATGAAGCAACCCAGAGATTGGCCCAAGGTCGTTGCTTCTGGTCTCAGTACCTGTGCTGTCCTTTACTTGGTTACTGCTGTCACTGGTTACTTGGTATACGGTGACAGAGTTGCAAATCCTGTTTATAACTCAATTCCCGCTGGCGCAGCTCAAATGGTTGCCGTTGTCATCATCACTCTTCACGTCCTTATGGCCGCTCCTCTTCTCATCACCTCATTCTCCCTTGATCTTGAAGAGATGTTTGATATCACTGTTGACCGATTTGGCAAAGTCAAGGAATTCTTCATTCGTGCAACCCTCCGTGTCTGCTTAATTGTCTTTGTTGGTGTCATCGCTTGTGTCGTACCCCACTTTGGTCCATTGATGTCTCTCATTGGTGCCTTTGCCAACTGTGCATTGATCTTTATTTTCCCTGTCGCTTTCTATTTGAAACTCACAGGTTTCCGTAACAAGCCTATCTATGAACTTCTCTTCTGTTTCCTCGTCGCTGTCCTTGGTATCGTTGGTCTCATCTTTGGTACACAGGAAGCCATTAAAGAATTGATTGCTGCGTTCAAATAGACTTAGATAAAGAAGCTCTATAACGCCTCCTCTCTTTTTTTCCTTGTTTCTTCATTTCCTTAATATGTACATAGTCTCTCAATCTGAAATATATATATATATATACATATATACACTTATATATCTTTATCGTTTATTGCTAAATTATAATACAGCTTTAGCTTTTGAAATGTTCCAGCACTACCATTGTTGTACTGATCCACTGCCGTCTTCAGCATTGCCCTTAAGTCAAGCATCCCTTTTGAATTGCTGAAGGACGCTTTTCAGTCTGACATAGATTCTGCCCATCTCTTCTAGAATTCTAGTTCAACTTCTTCACCTTCATCTTGAACTTTATCATCAGCTACAAATTCTTCTTCTCCAGCATGTATTGTCTAAAAAAAATGTAACCACAGCTATTAGCAATTAACAGCAATTTGGCTTACCTTTTGCTTTTTTCTGGCTGTTTCTTTACGGTGTTCATGGTGTAGTAGTTACCATAGTTAATTTTTAGATTTACTTTACAATAGCAGGATTGGTCTCCTTCTCCACCGGAGGGCATCATGAGCGGCTTTGTTTTTTGTTTTTTTGCCATTTTGGAAAGGTTTTTAGAATGAGCCAAAATGGACTCTAGCTGCTTTTTGTACTTGGTTTGAAGTCTCTCCTTAGAATCTTTTCATGCCTTGTGAATATTCGTAGAGTGTCTCATGCTCTTCTTCATAAATCTATGAACCTCTACTTTTATTAACTGAAAGATTCAGAGAAGTCTATGCACATTTTCTTATTGATAGTAGCACAGTGAAATGTTTATATCAAAAACCTGAAAAAATCAAAGGTTTACCTGAGAAAAAAGGAGTGAAGCTTATTTGTCATTGCATGAGCCTAGCTGGCATGAAGAATCTCCTTTGAGTTATTGATGAACAAGAATATATGAATACGGCACACAGCATAAACAATATAGAACGTACATATAAAAGTAAGGCAAAAGAAAGCGCGTTTTTATTTCAAACTAATAATGCACAACTATTAAATAACCATAACAACAAGAGAGATCTACTAGACTAAAGTTAGCAGCAATAAAAAGGGATTTATAAATGATTGCTCATCGCGTGTTTTTTATATCATCCAGCACTTAAATAGCAATATGATAACACAAAAGAGAGCAAGCCCTCAAAAGGTTGTCATGGAAACCATAAAGTGTCTGTCATATTTTTCTTCTTTAATCCTTGTAATCATTTATAAGATACTTACCCTAAAGAACTTTCTTTTGATGCAATTATCTTTAGAGAAGTAAGCAACAAAGAGAGAATATAGAATTTATACAAGTTTTGCTACTCTTTGCTTCAGACAACATTGCCTAAAGATAAAGGATCAAAAAGAACAAAGGATAAAAAAAAAAAAAAAAATAAAAGGAGAGGAAAAGAGATGAGGTTCATTATTCTTTTCTTGTCCTCTATTTATCCTTTTTTCTCTCCTTATTTTTGACAATGAGCCAATGAAGAGTAATCTGTGCTTAAAGTTTAGTGTTTTATGTTTTTAAAGTTTGCTTCACTCCATGCCCTACTATCCTTTAGAATGGACCCTACCTTATCTATTCACTTCTAAGTAATACTAGTAAATATGCTTGATTTTATTATAAAAAAGAATATCATCCGAATGAGACTAAACAATAACTAGCTGCATTGCATGATTGCTTGAGTCACACAAATGCCAACTCCTTTTGAACTTTTTAGAGGGCTATTTCTGTGACGCATGAGTAGAAAAAGACATACAGGAAAAGCCTTTGAAAAGGTAATTCTCAAATCTGTTACTTGTCAGTTATGAGATAAACCTTTTAACTTTTATTTTTGTACGATTTTTAAAAAGTTATGTAAAGATATAGAATGATGAAATAGATAAAGAACAAAACACGAAAAATAAACCAAAGAATCAGTGAACGATAACTCTAGAATCATATATATTTATTAAAAAAAGATTCAAGACTATTTATATCTTTTGTTACCAGCAATAGGCGGGATCCTGAATTAAGTAGTTCAACATGTCGAAAATACGACAACATCCAAGGCCCATAACAGAGCTGAGGTATCTGTTATTAACTTGGGGCAAATCATTCAAGCAGCTAGGTATTTTGATGTTGGTGAGTTCCAGCATGGCATAGAGCCCCGTGGCAGACAGAACCAAGACGTAAAAAGTAACGGTGCGGCCAACAACTTGAATTCCTAAGACACCCTTCATTTGCTGATTGTCCATTGCTTCTGTCGTATTTACCCTATAAATACTTAATCTTGTAGTATGAGGTTACTATAAGTCTATACTCTAAGAATGAATAATACAAAGAGACTGACCACAATACATGTTATTAACATATAACATGACAGACACAACTATTATTGGCCACAATTAAATCGGTTCCTTAATAATCCTGTCTTCATATAAACGAATACATGATGAAAATATCTATAGAGAGCGTCTAAAATCATCTCGCTTGGGTTAATGCAACCCTTTTGTTTTTTTATTTCATGCTTCTATACCCTTTATTATTTTCTTTAACAAGTACAGGCCGACTGGCGGTACTTGAATAAAATATACCATTTTACAAAAAAAAAATTCTGTCTTCATATAAAATAACGCTGTTTGTAATAATGAGCTCTCCCTCGTCTTAACATACAATAAAGAGGTTATATAGAGACACATTGGCACACATTTCCCCTCTTTCTCCTTTATTTATTCGAGACATATCACAGCTCCTTTGCAAAAAGCCGTGACTCGAATAAGATCATGGCAAATAAGGTAGTGATTGTCCCCTTGACAGACAGGTTTTGCTTCTCCATATGCAAAGCTATTAACTCACTTGAGTCAACAAGATTTTGTAATACACATGTCAGGATGGCGATTGGAAGATCCAAGTTGCTTCTTCGCCTCCAAGGTGGTCTCATTGGTCCAGCGAAAGTACAATCCATCATCAGGATCGTCAAATAAGCCGCACAAGAATGGACCGACAAAACGAATGCATAGTTCTGTTTCGTTTATTTCTTCTTCAAAGGCTATGCGTGGCAGTTTGCTGACCAAAGCACTTGTTCATGAGAACAACGATTTGTGGCTGCGGTTTTGTAGACTGATTATACCTTTGATAGGCAGGTTTAATGTGATATTATCGAATAAATGATTTTTTCCTCTAAAACATAAGAATACGACAAAATGGAATAGGTCTTTTTATGAAAAGAGAAAAGAAAGAGACTCATCGCAAAACGGGGAATTGATCCTTTATATGCAAGAATAAATGTTGTCAACCAATTACATCTGGTGAATTATATTACATGCAGCGTCATCAACTACTACAGACTAAAGATACCATGAATCAGTTGTTGTAAGCTTAGTCAAAGTATTTTGGCTTGTATAGAAACGTTTATTGTTTATATTACGTCCAAAGGATGTAATCTTTAATACAAACGTAGAAATACGCTCTCCACACAAAATCCATCACAAAATATGAACGATACTTACGTGTCATAGAAGATGCTAAACTGTTGAATCGATACGTTAAGGCATATTCTGATAGAATGTGGATATCTGCTCGACAAAACTTCCAACAAAAAGGCTACGTGCATGTGTACCCTTTGGTGTATACTAAGGCGGATTTAAGAGGCGGCCTCCTGGTTGCTGGTCTTTACATTTAAAACTTTAAAGAACAAATAATAAGTTGTGACTAAAACGAGAACTTATCCGCGAAATGATTTTTTATAAAATTCTCAGATTAGCAGTAGAAGCACTGTATTTTTTTTCTTTTTGAGAAACTCTTTTTTAATTGATAAACAATTATATGACAAATAGGTTCTTTTAATTATGCTTTTTTTAAGGGGGGTCGATGAGTACTGATTCTATACGTTAACGACAGTTGGATTAGAACCAACTTGTCTTGGTTTGATATTGAAGAGGAACATCTCTAGAGTTATTACCGCTACCACTGCCGCTTCCACCATAATTGTTGCTATAGTTGGAACGAGGAGGATAGGCAGATTCACGATTGCTGTTCCAGTCGTTGTTTGTCTTTCTGTAATCTCTTCCACCAAAACTACCTCCACCACCGCGACCACGGCCACGGCCACGACCACTAAAGGAGCGAGTTTCTCTAGCGACAGATTCCAAAAAGCTAGGGACTTCTTGATTAGCTTCTTCCAAGATGCTGATCAAATCATTAACGATGTTCTTGTTGTTACGATTGAAGAAAGCAGTAGCCAGACCAGTGTTACCGGCACGACCAGTACGACCAATACGATGCACATAATCGTCAATATCAGTGGGCAAATCATAGGAAATAACATGGGATACGTTGGCAATATCTAAACCACGAGCAGCAACAGCCGTAGCTACCATGATAGGTGTGCGACCTGTCTTGAAACTTTCAAGAGCACGCTCACGTTCACGTTGGGTACGATCACCATGAATAGCCGTGGCAGGGAAGTTGTGATCCAATAAAAACTCAGAGAGTGCATCGGCCATACGCTTTGTTTCGACAAAGATCAAGCAGAGACCAGAGATTTCACTAGAGTGGAGAATGTCCAACAAAACAGAGCGCTTATCTTCATCTTCGACATATTCGATCTTTTGAGTGATGTTTTCAGAGGTAGAACCAACACGACCGACAGACAAGAAGATGTAGTCCTTCAAGAAGTCACGGGCTAAATGCTGAATGTCACGGGGGAAAGTAGCCGAGAACATGAGGGTGTTACGGCCTTCAACACCAGGCATACCTTCCTTTTCGACAATACGTCTGATTTGAGGTTCAAAACCCATATCCAACATACGATCGGCTTCGTCCAAGACAAGGTAACGAATCAATGAGAGTGACACACGAGCACGTTCAAGCAAGTCGACAAGACGACCAGGTGTAGCTACCAGCAGATCACAACCACGTTCCAAATTACGGATCTGTGCACCAATATCAGCGCCACCATAAACGACAGCGGGCTTAACCCAAGAACGGTAAGCGAACTTTTTGGCTTCATCGTAAATTTGTGAGACTAATTCACGAGTAGGGGCAAGGATCAACACTTGGGGATAAGCCTTACGCTGACGATAGCCGCGGGAATCGTCTTCAGGAGGGCTCACGGGCCCCTTAGTGAACAATTGAGAAAAGACGGGGAAGAGGAAACCAGCGGTTTTACCAGAACCAGTCTGAGCACAGGCCATTAAGTCTCTGCCGGCATCGACAATAGGAATAGAGTATTTTTGAACAGGTGTAGGCGTAGTGTATCTAGCCAACTCAATGTTGCTGATCAAATGAGAATCCATTGGTGGAGAAGTAAAGGCGGTAATTGGCTCAGGACAGTCATGACCACTGGCTTCGACAGGAATATCGTCGTACTTTTCAAAGTTGATACCAGTGTGTTGCGTAATGCTGTCGTCTTGTGTGCCAAATAGCTCTTTTTCAGTACGAGGATTGCGGGTACCAATATGGTGTACACCATCCTTCCAGTAACCCTGAGTTTCGTCACGGCGTTGATAGCTATAGTCTTGGCGAGTATTGTTTTGACGATAACCGCCGTAGGATCCACGTTCGTAAAAGTCATTGCGGTTACCGCCCCATCGACCTCCACCACTAGGCATATCTGAATAAGAAGAGTTCCATCCTCTTCCTTCACCGCGAGATGCACCGCCTCCGCGGCCACCGTTCCAGTCATTCCAGCCGTTTGCTCTAGGCGTTTGGCGCTGCTGGCCTTCATTAGTTGATCGATCTTCACGATTAACTTGGCTTCTCAAATGAGGAGGGACATAACGAGAAGGAGGTTTGCTGTTATTATGATTATTATTATTGAGGCTCATGCCAGCTATAAAACATATATATACAAATGGTCAATCTATGTACTTATTAATACTATTTCTTTTTGTTACTGTACCGAATTGCTGATCTAAGCTTCCTGTGTTAGAAGTGCCATTGTTCATAATCTTTTATGATTAAAAAGTTTTTTAGAGAAAAAAGAGAAAAAAAAGAGGAATAGCAAATTTGCCTTTTTTTTCTTTTCGGCACTAGTGCGCAAGTCCGTAGACCACTCTCTGTTGCTTCTTATCCAAAAAGGAAATGGTGAAAATTTTTATTTTTATTATTAGCCAATCATTTTACTGCGCCACCAAATGAAGGAATTTAAGCATAAGAGTATATGTGTATGGATGTGCACTGCTTACCTAAGCATACAGCTTAGTTTCTATAAGGCATTCAAAGGAAAAGAAGAAAGAAAGAGAGAATTATTGAGGATCTGAGCGACAGATATCGGGGAATTAAAGAATGGGTTTATGACAAGTGTGTAATGCAAATAAAAATACGAGACTTTGTACTCTTACAAAGCGCCAGACGATCATCATGTTTATTCATCTTTACATAATTCTTATGTTGGCGATCATCTTGTAATATCCAATAGAAAGCAATGAAAAGCATTAACAAAAATAGATATCAAAACTAAGACAAGCAAAGTCATGCAATGAAACTAAGCACAACTCACTACAATGGCAAGATGCAGAATATAAACAACTAAAAATAGAAAATATACCATCTGCTATTAAAAAAAAAACTAATCGACATTTTCAAAAAGTGCTTTAATGGCACAAGTCTTATTTACAAGCCAAGAGCTGTACTACAGCTATTGAAACTTGCTGGGAGAGACTAAAAGATATACAAAAAACATGGAAGAGATAGAAGCAACTTGGGGAATAAAGCCATTCTAAAAAAGGTAAAATGAAAGTTATTGATGGTTACGAAGAAAAAGACTTCACATTTGCAGAAAACATTCGAATCCTTTTAGCTGTTACAAGCATTAATTCAAATCCTTTTTGGATACTACGTTGAAATCTCAATGATCCCATGATGCTAATGTCTATCTTGAGCAACTTGTTCAAAAAGAACATAAAGACCTTACTATGGCATAACAATTGAGTTGCTACGTAAGCATTACATTACTCCCGAAACCATCCAAAATCATGAGCTTTTTTTTTTGTTTTTTTGTTATGAGAGACGTTTGAAAACCAACAGCGAAAAATCAAAATTACTGTGTCTTGGTAACAACCATTTTTACACTGCATATGGGAATAATTGCCCCTAAAGACTACAGAAGCTATTGAATCAAAGAAACACTAGAACATATCAACATTTTACCTTATTAGCCGTCAATTGCTTATAAATATATATATATATATATATATACAATGTAAATTACTTGTTTGCATTATGGAGGCTTATCTTACAGTTGGTACTTTTAGTATGGCTCACTATATGAAGCCAATGCTAACTACCTAGGTCTAGACAACTATTATCATATGAAATGTTATAAAATATAAAAAAGCTTATTGTGGCGCTTGTTTGAGGTCAGTTCTACTGATTGTTCCTAATTTGTAGTTTAAAAGGAGACTGACAGGATAAAGACTCTAGTAAATGAAACACTCACTAGTAAGATTTAGGAAGCTTCTATTAAGCAAAATGTAATAATTTTCTAGATTCTGTCAAATAAGAAAGTGCCTCGGGAATTTCAACATCTTGCATGAAAAGAAAGCTTCTTTACCTGTAATCAACTAACTTTAGTATCCTCCTCTAAGCCAACATTTACTATATAACTCACATTGAACATTGGCCTTCTATCTATAGGACTGTTGAGTTTGTAGGAAAGTTCAGCGTAAGCTTATATATTAAACAGTCTCAAAGATAGTTTCACTCAGTCATTTTTAACAAGTCAATATTAAAAACCTAAAGCTTATATAAATCAACCAAAGACATCCTACTCGTGTTTTCTCTTTTTCTTTAGTAAACTTCATCACCTAACTCTCCAAATGGTTCCTTCCAGATATACATTTAGTCTACTTCAGCTTTTGTTGACGCTCGCTCAAACAGGTAATGCCGCCGTTCGATCACAGCCTGGTGCTATGGCTTCTTCTGCAGCCAATACTGCGGATCCTGCGAGCAAAATTTCCGCAAGTGAAGAAAAGCCTTTGTGCCATAACTATCGTACCGAATTTGCGGATGACATGCGCGGCTGGCAGGTAGATGACAGTCAGCAAGATACGTACGAGATATTGGATGACGCCATTGAGTTCAAACTGCTGCCACCCGACGACTATGTCCGCTTACATGACAGTAAAAGTAAATATACATGCGTTCATGGATAGTGTCTTGTATATTAACATCAAAGTTCTATAGATCTTCCATATAACCTATTTCCAGGACGAGGTCCAACTTTAAATTCAACAGTATACATGAGATATGGTAGAATGTCTGCAACCCTAAAGGCATCTGCTACTCCTGGCTCTGTCACGGCATTCATTTTGATGGGAGATGGTGGTGACGAGATTGATTTTGAATGGATTGGTGGAGCCCCGAACCAGGTTCAGTATGTGTCAACAACTTGCAAAAAAGTTATTCTCTAATATGATTGGGCTATATGTATAGGACTAACTACTTTTGGGGAAACTCAAAAGAGTACACTATCAATGGTGGCACTCATGTGGTCAAGGGTGCACCTGTAGATGCAGCCTTTCACAAGTACACTATTAATTGGCAGCCAGACAAGATCGAGTGGTTGATTGACGATGAAGTCGTGCGTACGAAAAATAAAGTCGAAACATGCGACGCAGCTGGAAACTGTAAATTTCCATCTCAACCAGCGTAAGTTTTGTGAACTGCAGGCCAGTTTTAGAATTAAAAATGGTGAAAAAATGTATGGTTTACTAAACCAGATTTTCTTAGACGAATTCAATTTGGCCTTTGGGATGGAAGCTTAGAGACTGGCACTGCTCAATGGGCTCATGGTCCAATTGATGTAAAAAAGAAAGAAGGAAATAGACATTATGTGGTCTAACACATCTTTTTTCTCTTGTAGTGGTCAGTGCCTCATACGATTACGGCACAGGCTAGAGACATAACTGTAGACTGTAACCCAGACTACAATCAAATTGTCGAATAGTTCGTTTTCCTCTCTCTTCAATTCATATACACACACACAAACACTAATCTGGAATTTTCTTTTTTTCTTGTTCTTTCATATGAGAAAAGCAATCGAGAATGCAAACTCTATTGATAACAACTAGAAATAACTCTTTTTTTTTTTTTTTTTTTACCAAACGACACACATTTCATCCAGTTTATTCAAAAACCTCCATGCCAAAGTTATCCAAACTAGAGCCTTCATCTATTGCTTGCTTGATATTGATGAACTTGTATGCTATTTTTTTACAAATAAAATAGCCTTCGTTCCTTAATAACGCATATAAAGTAAACCCTTTTTTTTCTTACTTCATTCTTTTATACTTCTCTTTTAAAACATGTTGGGTGCTTCATTAAGACGATTTAAAAATAATAGCATACATCCTTACCCAAATCATCAGGGTGAGCAAGATAACAAGCAGAGAAAGCTGACAGTTGCTATTTCCTCTTCATCTCAGCAAATCGCCAGTTACTTACAGAGAAAAGTATCTTTTATACACACAAAGAAACTTTTACAACACTTTCGAGAGTCCGATCTAAAAGTGAAGCGACAGCCATCGTTTTCAACAACTAGTACCGTGTTATTTGATTCTGATGAGCACCTACCTTCTTCCAAGAAGCCTCTCCCACCATCACCTAAAAAATCACAGACCATGACAGGTTTTACAGAGTTTAAACCACATGACGTCTGCGCTCATGATGCATCGCATCTGCCATCTGAGGACTCCATCTCGTTTTCTGGCAACAGTATTGAACAGATAAGCATATCAACTATCAGAGGAGGTCTGACACGAGCTAGTACCTGGGTTGGTAGATCGCTCAAGAGCCTTTTGAAGCCTGTGTCAAATGAACAGATATCCTTTAATGAACAATCATCATTATTTGAATTCCAAGAGTAAGGGCAAAAAATGCAAGAATGTCTATGTGATGATATAGCTAATACTCCTGATAGCAGCTATCCACGAGCACTGGATTTAGGAAACTGTGATAAAAGACTAAAGCTTCATTGCAAAAGTAAGACGCTTTGTCATTCAATGCCACTTATTAAAACTCTTTTTAACAGTCTTGCAAATCACAAATTTCTCATCATCTAAAAGTAAGACCCTATAAACGACTCTTGCTGTCTGTTGCTCATACATGTATTTTTAGCCTATCTTTACACCCTTAACATGCATGTGACAAATAATGAATCTCAATCTTATTCTGGTGTTATGAAGAGAATAGGTCGAGGTGTTAGCACGTCAAGCCCCCATGCTACACTTTCGTTGTAGAGTATAATCGAAAAGCCCTTTTGTATTATTATTCACACACAGTTGCGTTCATTTAGCACAGTTCAGGGACAATTTGCACTAGAATGTGATTTAAATATTGAAGTGACAAACTCGCCAAGTATCGTAAGTCGTCTCAAGAAGATTGGCAAGAATAACTCTGTGGATATCGTTCATGAAGAGGAGGAATTTAACAATGTTGTTACTGCTCACCTTCAACTTGATTCTGGTGACGATCCCTTGTATAGCTTTGCAAATCAGGGAATAGGTCGATATGCCATTCACACGTCTCCATTACAAAACCCTTCGTTGGCTCTCGAGTTGACTATCTCATTCTGGTTGGAAGAGTATAATCATTGCCCGCTGGAGGCAGAAATGCAGATCGATCATGATGTCTTGATATTTTGTCAAGGTGGTGACTACTTGACATTCTATGTTAAAGGCGAGTCTTATCCGGTAACGGTTATGGTATTGGTAATGAACACTATACTTATTATGTACATTAGAAGTGGATTCGTTATTGGGTGACCTATGAGAAGCAGGAGCTGGTTTTGCGATTGAATGAAAGGCGAGAAGAACCTATTGAGCGTATCTCGCTCGATCGTTTAGTACAAGTAAACACGTATCCCACAAATGACATTCAAGAAGACATTTATCTAGGAAAAAAACACATCATCATATTGTCATTTGGTCAAGCTGATGAGATGTATCTGTTTGCTGATAGCTCAAAAAGCGTTAGATACTGGAAATGTTTATTGGAGTCCATGACGTCAGGCGGAAGCGACAATGAGCAACAGCATATCAACAAAAGATATATTTGGTCATCATAAAGGTTGCAAACTTTGTATATTTCTATTATTTATTTACCTAAAAAAATAAAATTGCATATTTTATCTCATTATAACTCTAGTGATCAGGCTCATATATGAAGAATGTAATGCAGAGCATGTTTTTCTATGTCGGATATACGCATTTTGAAATAGACAGGCAGCGGATTGATGGGTGGATGGATAGATCCTCGCAGATCAAGGTATATGGAGTATGATATAGATTGACAAGGACATTAAACATGCATAGAAACACTGATGTCGATGTAATGTATGGACTAGCGGTTAATGCTAAGACCTTGGGGATAGAGATATCTGAAACATACATTTTATTCAATATGTGAGAGGAGAGAGAGTCTCGTAATTTACGTTGAATAAGGGTCAATAAGCAGTGTCTATATCTTAATAACAAAAGCTCAGTAATATAAACTAGCCAATTACAGTCATAATTACAAATACATATAGTCATTTTTAATACCATCGTCTTTATTCTTCAAAATAAAAGAAACCTAAAGAGTTCCATTATGCTTTCTGTCCTTTACCATTACTACAACCGCAACTACAGCTACAAAAAATACCGCAGAGAAGAATGAGAGAAAGGGCAGAAATGTATTCAAGGAGGGAGTATGGTCAAGAAGGTAGCTGCATTAGTAATGAGACGATTGACCGCGCGCTTTTTTGCAGGATTTGCTCGTTTGCTTCAGATATTCTGACATGCGCACCACACCAGGACATTCAGGGCATGCGGTGGCAGGTGAGGAGCTCATATTGCAGTTGACCCAGAAAGAATTGATTATGGCAGTAAGCAGGTTCAAGCTGCGCATTGTGACAAAGCTATGCAGGGTTGTCAATGACGAGGCAACGGTCATTATCAACAATATAATACATTGGTTCTGGCCAGCAATATTCGTCGACAGCAGAACCGTTGCCATTTTCAAAAAAGAATTGAATGTTCATTACTTGTAGTTTCTGGTGTAATTGTGAAAAAGAAATAAAACGGGACGAGTATTTGATGCATTTTTATATATCCTTCTTGGCAGCAAGACATTTGTTTTGTCAGTGAAGTCAAATTTACATTTCGTACAACCTGAATTTTGTTCTCGCCATTTGGCAAGCTTACTTTCTGGAACGAGTGTATACAAAGTGCACCAGGATTATTCGCCTCTTTTACTACAATTACACCTAGTCCTTTTACGATAATGAATATCCAATTATTTTAATAAAGAAGAATTACTGCTATGGTTACGCCATACCTTTGAGGCTCTTGTCTACTAAATGATTTCTTATTTGACATTGTTCACCAAATAAGGAAGCCTTGATCTGTGCACAAAAATACAGAATTATTGTAACGGCGCTGTAAGAATAGATTCACTTATGATGGAACATATAAGAATTCTTTTTCCTAATTGTGATTGCTGAAAGAAACCCAGTTTACTGCAATGGTTTTCACATTTCAAGATCAAAGAATCAATGGTTTCTTCAGTGAGGGCCTTTATGTACTTATAGGCTGGGTAATGCTTTCAGCAGGAATTACTAAATATGGAAAATAGTGAATCGCGGAAGAAATAACAACTCTTTTCACGACCGCGTAGTCTGTGACAGCTCCTGACTTTGTTGCCAATCAAGTCTATTTTTTTTTTTCTTCAGGTACCTCTCTCTCCCTCTTTCTTTAATAAAAGTATGGCCTCTGAATCTGACGACGATTATCAAGACAATTTCCAAGAATCCGACGCTTATGTTGATTCAGGAGATGATTCTGATTTTGAAGCAGCTCCTCCCGCTAAAGTAAGTTTCCTCTCTTTTTTGGGGTGTGCAAGTCCATCTAATCTTTTCCCTGTCAATATAGAAAGCAAAGGTCACAAAGAAGGCAGAAACTACCAAGAAGGAGACACCTGCAGCAAAAAAGACGGCACCTGCCAGAACAACCAAAAAGACTGCTACAAAGAAAAAAATCGATGCCGACGACGATAACGATGACGACGGCAGTGATTTTGAAGTGACTAAGCCGGCTCCTAAGAAGAGAGGCCCCAACAAATCAGCTGCCAAGAAAACCGAAGTTGCTGTTGAAACAAATGGACATGCTGAAACAGCCATGGACGACATTGAAATGATCGATGTCTCAAACTCTCCTAATAAGAACAAATCTATTGAAGAAATCTACCAAAAGAAGTCTCAATTAGAACACATTTTGCTTCGTCCAGATACTTATGTTGGATCAACTGAAGTTGAAGAGGAAGAGATGTGGGTATTTGATAGTGAACAAAGCATCATTAAGAAGAAAAAGATAAAGTATGTTCCTGGTTTATACAAGATTGTAGACGAAATTCTGGTCAATGCTGCTGATCACAAGGTAAAGAATATAATATAGGGGAAAGAAAAGGTGAATATTGATATAAAACAGATTAGAGATCCAGCAATGACTTATATCAAAGTAACTATAAACAGAACAGAAAACTTCATTTGTATCGAAAATAATGGTAAAGGTATTCCTATTACCGAACACAAGAAAGAAAAGGTCTATGTACCTGAACTGATCTTTGGACACTTGTTGACCTCTTCAAACTACGATGATGAAGAAAAAAGAGTGGTTGGTGGTCGTAATGGTTATGGTGCCAAACTATGTAACGTCTTTAGTACAGAATTTACCATAGAAACTGCAGATAAGGAAAGACAGCTGAAATATAAGCAGATCTTTCAAAAGAACATGACAGTCATCAAACCACCCTCTATCACCAAGAACTCAAGAGGAGAGCAATACACTCGCATCAGCTTTAAACCCGATTTGGCTAAATTCTCATTGTCAGAGATGGATGAGGATTTTGAAGCTTTAATCAAGAAACGTGTCTATGATCTGGCTGGTTGCGTAGATAACTGTAACGTGTTCTTGAATGGTACAAAGATCCCCGTAAAGAACTTTAAGCAGTACTGTGAATTGTACACAAAGTCATTAGAACTTGGTCCTGAAGAAACAAAGAAGGAGATCATATTTGACAATGCAGCAACGGGTCGTTGGCAAGTCTGCTTTGCTCTAAGCGATGGTCAATTTGATCAAATCAGTTTTGTCAACAGTATCTGTACAGCAAAGGGTGGTACTCATGTGAATCATGTCGCTGATCAGATTGTCAAGCATTTGGCTCCTGAGGTTGAAAAGAAGAGCAAAAACAAGAATGTAAAGAACATGCAGATCAAGAATCATATGATCCTGTTTATCAAGTGCTTGGTCGAAAACCCCACTTTTGAAACGCAAACGAAAGAGACGATGACATTGCGTGCCAGCGCCTTTGGTTCATCTTATAAGCTATCTGACAGATTTGCTAATGCTATTGCAAAATCAGGTATTGTTGATAACATCGTTCGATGGGTCAAGTTTAAAGAAGAGCAAAAGATGTCCAAGGTTGATAAAGGTCTGATGCGACGAACCTTGAACATTCCCAAGTTGGAAGATGCAAACTTTGCCGGTGTTCCTGGAAAGAACAAGCGCTGCACTCTGATCATCACAGAAGGTGATTCAGCTAAGTCGCTTGTTTTGAGTGGCATGTCAGTAGTGGGTCGTGACTACTATGGTGTATTCCCCATCCGTGGCAAACTGTTGAACGTTCGTGACGTTTCTAATGCTGAACTCATGAAAAATGAAGAAATCAAAAACATCAAGGCTATTCTTGGCCTTCAGCATGGTAAAAAGTATGAAAGTGTTGATGAGTTGCGATATGGCCGTTTGATGATCATGACAGATCAAGATCATGACGGTTCACACATTAAGGGTCTGATCATCAACTTTATCGATTCCATGTTTCCCTCGCTTCTGGATATTCCTGGGTTCCTCTTGGAGTTTATCACACCTATTATAAAGTGTACACATAAACGTTCAAAGCAGATCGTTTCCTTTTTCACTATCCCAGAATATGAGCAATGGGCCTTGGAACACAACAAGAAGAGTGAATGGGATGTAAAGTACTTCAAGGGTCTGGGTACATCTGATAAAATGGCTGCTCGTGAATACTTTAGTAAGCCAGAAATCCATCAAAAAGAATTTCAGATAATGGACACAGAAGATCGTCAACTGATTGACATGGTTTTCAACAAGAAGAAGGCTTCAGATAGAAAGGAATGGTTGACCCAGTATGAGCCTGGCATCTTCATTGATCACAATGTCAACAAGATTAAGATTAGTGAATTTGTCAATCGTGAGTTGATGTTATTTAGTATGGCAGATAACATCCGTTCTATTCCTAGCGTCGTCGATGGTTTCAAACCAGCTCAGCGTAAGGTACTCTATGGTTGCATCAAACGTCCCAGGAATACAGAAGTCAAGGTAGCTCAGCTAGCAAACTACGTTGCTGGTATCACCCAATACCATCACGGTGAACAAAGTGTTGCAGGAACGATCATCAACATGGCCCAAAACTTTGTTGGATCTAACAATATCAACTTGCTAGTACCTTCCGGTCAGTTCGGTAACCGTCACTCTGGCAGTAAGAGTGCGGCTAGTCCTCGTTATCTGTTCACTCGCTTGTCCAAAGTCACGCGTTTGATATTCCATCCTGATGATGATGCTGTGTTGAATTACTTGATAGAAGAAGATAAGATGATTGAACCTAGCTGGTATATTCCTATCATTCCTATGGTACTCGTCAATGGTGCCGACGGTATTGGTACAGGCTGGAGTACAGCTATACCCAACTACAACCCCAAGGATATTATCGACAACATCTTGCGCCTGATGAATAACCAGCCCATGGAGACAATGAAGCCATGGTACAGAGGCTTCAAGGGAGAAATTAGTCCTTCTGGGCCTAGCAAATTCACTGTGAATGGTATTGCTGAAGTCACACCAGAGAGTGATGTTAAGGTGACTGAAATACCCGTTCGTCTGTATACTGAAGCGTTCAAGAAGTTCCTCATGGACTCTCTTCCCGACCAGGCCAAGGACAAGAAGAACATTATAGTTCAAATTCAGGCAAGCCTCGAGAAGTAAAGCAGATTTTTTTGTATACTAACTTTATTGTAGAGTTTTAAAGATAATTCAACAGATGTGGCTGTTGACTTTACAATTAAATTAGATGACAGCAACTTGAAGAAAGCGGAAGATGTAGGTCTCCTGACTGCTTTTAAGATCACAAGCACGATCAATACAACCAATATTGTCTGTTTTGACAAGAACGGTAAAATTAAGAGATATGACGGCCCCGAAGAGATCCTGCGAGAATTTTATGATTTGCGTTTGGAATTCTATGCAAAGAGAAAGGTACGTTGTCTGATGTATGCACGCATCACGTCTTGTATTGACATAGATTTTATAGGAACATTTGATTACTGTATTAAAGCATGAATATGAACGTCTAGACAACAAAGCCAAGTTCATTCAACTCGTCATTGATGAAAAGCTTCAATTCTTCAACCGTAAGAAGGCTGATGTCATTGCTGACATGAAAGAACATGGACTTCAGCAAATCTACCCGTTGAAGAGAAAGAACGCTTTAGTACAAGATGATGATGAAGATCCAAATAACCAAGCAGAGGAACAAGAGGGTACAGGATATGAGTACCTCTTTTCTATCAGCGTCAGTGGCTTCACAAGAGAAAAGGTCGAAGAACTTCATAAACAGCGTGACACCAAGTTGGAAGAACTTGAAGATATTCAAGGTACACCACCAAAGACATTCTGGCGCCGTGATTTAGAAGCTCTATTGAAAGAATGGGAATCCATATTGGAAGAAGATGCCGAATATGAAAAGACAGCTAAACCTATGGCTACTAGCGATGCTGGAAAGAAGAGAAAAAGAGCCCCAGTAAAGAAGAAGGTTAAGCAAGAGGATTAAAAAACGTTTAGTTGTTTTTATTTATTGAAATGTATAACTCATACAAAAATAAATGGCTCTTTTTTTTTTTTAAAAGACTAAAGCCAACGCTGTAGCAAGTAAAGCAATGAGGGTAGAATAGGCCATGGAGTTGTGACTAGCATCACTCTTCTTCTTGCCTTTCTTTATAGTACAATTAATAGAGCATTGGAAAGCCAAGCTGTTTGGGTTTTCAACGATGGATTGATCAGGGCAGGACTGGAACTGATTTGGTGTCATGTAGCAGTAGCCAAGGGAAGGTGGCGCCATAACTGAAGGGAACTGGCCATTGAGCATGTTGTAACTAAGACTGAGGCTTTGTAGTTTTGATAACTGACTCAATTCATTTGGGACAGAGCCAGTGAGAGCATTATGCCCAAGGTTTCTATATATATAGGGTTAAGATCAAGTCTGTATATGTACCACATCTATTCTTACAGTCGTTCAAGGTTAACAAGATTTTTGACATTGGGTGAAACCTGGCCTGTTAATCTATTGTTAGACAAGTCCCTAGAATTGAATGTTAGAATGGATCAAATGATTCTTTTTATAAAACCACTTACAATACTTGAAGGTTAGTTAATGAATAGATTTGATCAGGAATTGTGTCGTTTAACATTTGGTCTGACAGGGTTCTACAAGTTTTATGATTAATATAATAATCTATTTTTGGTTACTTTTTACTTACAAGGAAGTTAATTTTGTGAGATTGCCAATGGAAGCGGGGATATTGCCAAGTAAAGCATTTCTCTTGAGATTTCTATTGTTCAAATAGTTAGTTGGATGCATATATATGTATTATAGAGCTAGTTATTACAATGTCACAAGAGAGGTAGCATCACCCAAATTGGCAGGTAAGAAGCTATTATAGTTGTTACCATCCAAATAGCTATAAAAATGTGTTAATATATACACACGCATATCCTATTTTTGTTTCTTACAGTGTTTGAATTGTCTTCATTCGTGTGACAACATTAGGGAATGATCCAGACAAATTATTATTGCTGAGGTAAAGGCCCTGAAGTGAAGTCATGTTTGACCAACTATCAGGGATTGTGCCAGAAATGGAATTATTTTTAAAGTGTCTACATATAAAATAAAATATGAGTTATAAGCGTATACAATTGGGATTGACTCTATATTACATGCTTGTCAAGTTGACTAATCTGCTCAATCCATCAGGAAGAGGACCAGACAAGGAATTGACGTCAAAGTTGCTACAGAAAGTCAATATCAATATCATCATTCAATATGTCATATGAACATACATCGATTGTAAGCTGGCTAATTGAGTCAAAGTAGATGGAATTGGTCCTGAGATATTGTTAAAACTGAAATCACTATACAAGGTTTGAATTAGATTATATTTTCCAATAGAATACTTGATTTTTGTACATGTTTTGAAGATCAGGTATTTTATCGAACGCATTGGGTAATTGTCCACTGAGATTGTTATGTGAGAGGTCTCTGAAAAAAAAAAAAAAAAAAAGGTTATTTCAAATTTGGGAAAAGAGAAAAAATCATCTTACATCTTTAACACTTTTCCGATACGATTACAGTGAACACTGTACCAATCGCAACAAGAGGTCATATTAGAGGAATCCCATCCGGCAGATACAAGCCAGCTTTTGCCATTGAGTGATTTATATAATGATTGCAGTGCTTCACAAACAGAGGGGGCAACTGTAGGTAGCACATAAGGTGTATGGGTTGCTTCAGGAACATCACTGACATTTGTGCTAGAAGCTACATCTGCTGTAGTAGATGATGGTACCAAGCTGGAAGCATCTGTGGGTGTTGAAGCAGTACTATCTGTGGTAGTAGTAGGTTGAATTGTGGTAGGCGGAGTACCTGCATCAGTTGTTGATGTGGGAAGAGTATCAGTGGTCGCTGATGCTGCTACAGATGATGTTGTCGTGGGGCTCAAATCATTACTGCTAGCTAAGATATCCAGGTCTGAAGTGATGTTTTGAGCTACATTAAACAATGAATAGCCTATCCATGACTGTATCCTTTTTTTTTTTCTCTTTTACCAAAGCTGAACGATGTCAAATATATTAAAGCTAAAAGTATTGATTTTTTCATTTTTCTTTCTTTTTAAAAAAAGAAGAATATGAAATAAGAAAAAAGAGAAGAAAGAGAAATTAAGGATCCTCGTATCTATTTTTTTAGGGGAGTGTACACAACACATTTGATCCACACGATGAAAGGTACAGAAATAGTAGCAATTTAAAAATAGAAAAAATAGAAATTTTTTTATTAGTCTCGCTTGATATGAGGATAATTTCGTGATATCAAGTAATCTGATACAGCACCAGTGACAAAAGCATACACTGCTTTATGTAAGATGTCGATCACTTGTTCATTCCATGGCCATGTCCAAGGTAAGGCACCAACACCTGTGACATTTTCGAGAGTTTGATCAATTAAGAGACGGATAAACGTGAAGATAAAAGATGATACGGGTCCTTGAATTCCATAAACTGCCATGGACGTTCTAATACATCCTGCTATCATCCCCTGTCCAAAATGCATGGTATGATTAAGTAAAAATCGCTCTGAATCAGGCTTCTGTGGTAGTCCAAGTAATCTTTCGAGCGTATGTCCTGGTACATATGAGCTAGGTCTACCCGTAATACATTGCTCTATCTTTTCTCCAATAGTCATCACAGTTACACCAACGAAACCTGCAAGTAGACCATTTCCAATAATGTTACCTAATCCAACATTGTATACTTTTTGCATTTTTTCTTCTTTTTTTTTTCCTTTAAAAAAACAAGGTAACGCGCTTAAAGTTTTTATACTTTTATACATGTTGGCACATGGGTTTTTTTCTGCTATAATATTTTTGTAATCATTACATAGAATTACTGTCATCAATAAAGCTGCTTCTGCCCTTGTAGATCAAATATGGTTTATTCGGAATAAGAAAAATTATTTCGTCCAATAGAAAGTTAAGCTTTGACCACATTGTCACATTCATCAAAAGATAAACAAGTCGTAGTAGTTGGTAGCAGATGCAACAAGGTTATCTTGATCACTGAATGACAACTGTGATGACAACAGAGATGACACCACACACATGAACATGCTCCATGACAATTGTTGTCATGGCGTAACTTTTTTGATTGACAAAAAAGGGAGGATGGCTATTTCCGTATCTGTCTCTCCTCTCCTTCTCTTCTCTTCTTCTCTTTCTTTCTGCAAATAACTGCAATGGAAACTAAATGATATCATATGATACCACATTTAAACTAACCTCTCAGTAAGCACTGTTGTAAATGAAACTTTATTTTGATCATAATTTGAACCACACAAGCCACAAAAACAGGTCTAAACGACGCCCCCAACCACAAAAATGGCAAACTCCTCTTTTGAGTCGTCAATTAACACAAAGGGCGGTCACCTCTTTTAATGAGCTTTTCCTACTATTGATGTGTGGCCAAATAGTTTTCACTAGTAGCAGCTTTGTCGCTGGTAATAATGACGGAGAGGGATCATGACGTGCAATGCCAATTGAGGAGTTTTCAATGCTCGATTAGCGGTTTCTCAAATTTCAAATGGTCGTTTTTCGAAAGCTCAGCAATATCGATGAAGGTTCCTGAAATGAAGGCCAACACTACACGTACCAGAAGATACGCTAGTGTTACAGGAACTTCTTCTATGCACTACATGTAAGGCTATCCAGTGGGATATCATTGAAGTAAAATACGAGTTTACCATAATTACGCATGATTGATCAAACTGACAACATAAAATTAGAATAAATAACAGCATTTCTTTTTTATCTCTTTCTTCTTGAAATGGAACAAGCCATGATGGTAACTTTAAATTTTGTATCATACATTAAAGAACGTCAAAAGATATCTGTTCCCAGCTTGCCGAAATTCACAGCAGATTCGAACTTGAAGCTCTCAGATATTGTTACAATAGTCGTGCCTGGCAATCACTTACTCTCTGATCAATTAACAAAGGTTGTAGAAGTAGAAGCAATCGATAAACAGTCCTTGAAATCGCCCATATATCTCCCATCTGTATATCAGTTGCTTCAGTCAGTGCTGCAGCAACCGTACAAGTATCTCTCTTATGCTTTGTGGACATATCGATCACCATCCGGTATTTCCCTGGCCGAAAGGCAACTTACACGTATCGTACAGTTTATTTTGACCGACCATGCGAACAAGATCAATCGCCAATCAAATTACATATCCAAAGCGAGCGTGCATTTTAGATTGATCGCGTAGTTCCGTTGCTGCAAACACTTGGTGACCAAACCGGCCATCATGGCTTTGAATGGTGTGAGACGGTAGCAGGTGGGCAGGCGAAGCCGAATATATTACCAGAGAGCTGGTGTCATAACTCAAAACTAACAGCGAAGCCCTTAGATTGCAAATATAATTATAAGCTTATTAATGTATTTGTCCCTTTACATTTCTTTAAATAGTATGAAAACTCTTTTTCTTTTTAATAAATAAAGCTTCAGCCAATTATCAGTATAACTTCTGTTCTTAGGCCTTTGCAGTCTATTATTGATTCTTCTATTGTTACTCTCTTTCTTGTCTTGTTGTTATCTCTGTAAGTCCTATCTTCTGTATATCATCTTGTAAGCCCTTAATATCACCCTCTCTTATTCACAATTAGCTGTACTATCCAGCATCTTAGTTCCTGTCCGGTTCTATTCCTCTCTCCTTCCTCTGCTGAACACATAACTAATTATAGCTGGAATCAAAGAGATCCTCGGTGCCTTGATGATTTATAGAGCGATCTTTGAATTCCTTCTCGAATTGTTTCTAATCCTCGAAACTATGATCATAAAGCCATCTGGAAGCTTTCTTGTTTAAATATCCAGGTACGTGGTCGAGTCTGTCTTTTCTTCAACTCCAAGTATACTACAGCCAGCCAATCTTTTGGATTTTGAACTTGTTTGAACTTTGATATTTTTTAGCCATTTCACATTGTAATATAAGAAGGGGAAGAAGGCATCGATGAGTTATTAATTTTGATCGTTTAATTATTTTCACTGATAGTCTGGCAGAAGGCACCATGAGTTTTAAACATTAGAAACTATTGGCTTTGATATGCTTTTTATAGACAGCTTTTGCTTTTAATAGTAAATTATCTTTCTTGTGCTACGTTTTAACTTTTTTTTTTTCATTTTCCTCTCAGTATCTTTTTTTATTTATTATTCTTTCTCTCCTTATTTTTCCTTTAACTTATATGTCTGAAACAATTATTCGTGTTGGTATAATAAGAGCAAGAAACCTGGCAGCAGCGTAAGAGAAAATGGGTCAATATTATAATTTATGCTTATGTTATTTTTAGTGACAAAACTGGATTCTCAGATCCTTATGTTGTGCTTAGAGTAAAGTAAGTCATGCAGGAACTTTGCTTTTGCTTATATGTTGATTGTTTTTCTAGCCATAAGAAATACAAGACAAAAGCGATCGAACAAACATTGGATCCAGAATGGAACACACACTTTGACATCAAAGTAGCTCCTAAAAAGACACCAACCTTACTGTCCTTCACTGTTTGGGATAAGGATACTTTTGGTAGAGACTTTTTAGGAGAACTGACGATACCATTTAAAAATATATTTGACCGAAATGCACAGGGACTCTCTGATGGAGTGCCGAGAAATTATAATGACCCTTTAAATTATGAAGCTTATTACACATTAAGTAAAAGAAGTGAAAGGAACAACGTTTCTGGTGAGATCTGTCTGAAGTTTGGATTTTATGAAGAACATATTGGTGATCCTAAACGGTAAGAGAGAGATTTATAGTAGAGCAAATTGAAGTTATAACGCTATGTATTATAGTTATGCTGATGCTTGGGAGCTACTTGTATCATAATCTTTTTGTTCTTTGAGCCCATTTGTAACACTATCTGTATTTAAACACGATAAAAATAGAATAAAAAACATCATTGCAATTATGCCATGAACCTTGCTTGTGTATGTGTGTAATTAAACTTAGTAAAAGTTCATAATGCTGTCAAAATGAAGACAAAAGATGTGATACAGTCCTCCTCTTGGCATAGATGGACTCATTTAAACACTTTAAAGTACACATCATTGGACATGCAAAATCAAGCAAGGATCCCAAGTATACAGCAAGAAAGTTATGAAGTCTTATATCCAGCGGAGTATTCTTTATGTAAGATGTGCATTTATCATAATTACATGTGAGCTAAGTAGCCTTTGTTAATCAAACTGACAACATAAAAAAATTAAAATATAGCAACAACCACATTTTACCTCGTTCTTCTTGAAAAGAAACAAAACAAGCCGGCAACTGTATAAAACCATGCTTAACGCGGCACTACACATTCAAAGGTTTTGTTGGAAGGCATCATAGGTAATGGGTAGAGATAGCGCCCGTAAAATTAGTCTAACTTCTGGTGTGTTTTCTGGCGCATGTAGCGTTTCCCTTATAGTTCTGAAGATGATAATTCTACAGATGATAGCTCTGTACATGACAATTCTGCAGAAGATGTCTCTGTAAAAGATAGCGCTGTAGAAGATAATGGTTCTGAAAATAATGCTGTAGAGGAACTTGCAGAGTTCAACTCATTTCTTAGTAATGAAACTGACTTGACTTATAAAACTGAACCTTCCACTCACTACGACTAAAACCTAAAGCTTAAACGATATGTGTTGACACTTCATTAATGAATACATATGAGGAGAAACATGAAGTGTATTTGTATAATGATAACAATACTCTGGATGAGCGATTGTAAGTGTGTAAAACATGTATGCTCGAATTAATAACAATCAACACTTGTTTTGATTTCAATAAAATTAGAAATATTTCAGCTACCAATTTCAATACCACACTTGACATTTATTAACATTTGGAGTTCCATTTTGCATACCCGTCTTGTTTGTTACATTATCCACAGTTATCGCTCCTGAAAGATAAGATTACCAATATAGAAGTAAACCAGTAGTAACAATCAATGTTACTATTTTCGTAGTAATTATGTGATTTATATAAAACCGGTGTATGTTTAATGGTTCCTTTTGGTATAGCAGCTGCCATGTCAGGTGCTTTTCGTTTCGTGGCGCCTACAATCTTTCTTTTCTTAATATTTCCTAGATCCTTATAGTTACATTTACAACACCAAATACTGGAATTGCACCAATAGTAGTATAAGATATCGCTCTTGTAGAAGGTGATTCTACGATTGCTTGGATGTCACGTTACGATCAAGCTCTCGAATGGCGCATATTTATATCGAAGCCTGATTTATCAAGAAAGACACAATTTTGTATATAAAGCATGCCTTTTTGTAGCCATTCCTCCACGAATTGAATACAAGCTTCTAAAGTTGTATTGCTGTTTCTAACCATAAGATGGCAAGTAACCACTTTAACACTGAGATTACATTTCTCTTTCATAGACCCAACGACTCTGCTTTTCTTAATTTCCAAACTTTCAAAGCTTTTTGTCAAATCTTCGACTGCATCTTGAATAATGGCTGACAAGTTTTCATCAAAAAAGTTTACCAGATAAGCCTTGTTTTCGTCATTTGGCTTACTTTGAGGCCTATTTGGTGTACAATTCGCTTTTTTTTTTTAACAGACATTTGCTTCCCTGGGGCTTTACTGTATGCTGCCTTCCATTTTCGACCAGCCTTGTAATGGACATTAACAACTTGCGGAGAGTGTCATAAGTTTCTCTGAAGAAAATGGGAGTATCTCCGTCTATCTTCATCTGTATAAGCATTGTAAGCTAAGGTTTGTTCTTTCCTAGAAAGTGCTACCTTCATATCAGTGCCCTTGGTTCATGAATTTCGGTTCGCTACTTTTTTTTATTTTATTTTTGATGTACTTATGTAAATTCATTCAAATTCGTTAAATGAAATGAGTAATTTACCACAAGAACAATCGTTTCTCTCTCGGTCTCATATACAATCTCACCTCTACCATCTTTGTGAAAGAAATTCATTCTCAAAAGAAATAGTTAACGAAAGATAAAACTCAAAAGAAGTTGGCATTTGTGTGACTCAAACAATCATGCAATGCAGCTAGTTATTGTTTAGTCTCATTCGGATGATATTCTTTTTTATAATAAAATCAAGCATCTTTACTAGTATTACTTAGAAGTGAATAGATAAGGTAGGGTTCATTCTAAAGGATAGTAGGGCATGGAGTGGAGCAAACTTTAAAAACATAAAACACTAAACTTTAAGCACAGATTACTCTTCATTGGCTCATTGTCAAAAATAAGGAGAGAAAAAAGGATAAATAGAGGACAAGAAAAGAATAATGAACCTCATCTCTTTTCCTCTCCTTTTATTTTTTTTTTTTTTTTTATCCTTTGTTCTTTTTGATCCTTTATCTTTAGGCAATGTTGTCTGAAGCAAAGAGTAGCAAAACTTGTATAAATTCTATATTCTCTCTTTGTTGCTTACTTCTCTAAAGATAATTGCATCAAAAGAAAGTTCTTTAGGGTAAGTATCTTATAAATGATTACAAGGATTAAAGAAGAAAAATATGACAGACACTTTATGGTTTCCATGACAACCTTTTGAGGGCTTGCTCTCTTTTGTGTTATCATATTGCTATTTAAGTGCTGGATGATATAAAAAACACGCGATGAGCAATCATTTATAAATCCCTTTTTATTGCTGCTAACTTTAGTCTAGTAGATCTCTCTTGTTGTTATGGTTATTTAATAGTTGTGCATTATTAGTTTGAAATAAAAACGCGCTTTCTTTTGCCTTACTTTTATATGTACGTTCTATATTGTTTATGCTGTGTGCCGTATTCATATATTCTTGTTCATCAATAACTCAAAGGAGATTCTTCATGCCAGCTAGGCTCATGCAATGACAAATAAGCTTCACTCCTTTTTTCTCAGGTAAACCTTTGATTTTTTCAGGTTTTTGATATAAACATTTCACTGTGCTACTATCAATAAGAAAATGTGCATAGACTTTTCTTGTATCTTTCTGTTCTTTGTCGGACATTATCTATCCAAGGTCTTTTTCTTTGAACTATAACAAACATTCAAAAGGCTTTGGAAATGAAGCTCTTAGGAGCTCGCCAGACAGCGACTATTAATATATGCAATGCTTATTTATGTATAATTTTATTACAAAACAAATAATGTTCACGTTTATGATTTATTTATTGGACCACGGCTTTCTTGAAGTTTTTTTGATTTCTTGAGTAATCAACGTATTTGGTTTATAGTGAGTGTACCACTTTTGACATTCCATTTCAACGCTCTTTCGTACGTCTCCTGTCCGTCCATCAAACCTCACCAAACAGTTAGTTGATATAGTTAGAGCTGTACATATGCAGTATCTCTTTATTAGAAATCAATTGCCACTATGGCTGCTGCTATAGCGCATAATATATAGTGGACTGCTTGCAGTGTTTATAGTATTGTATGAAAAAAAAAGCTTTGTTAGAAGCCTTTCTTACAGTTTTGTCGCTTGAAAGCTAATCGGAATACCAAGGGACCATAAAAGGCAAAAAGAGACAGCTTTATGTCATCAAACTCTGTACAGAGCTGTCATGTCTTACCGTGGGAGTCTTCATTGACTTCTTTCAATGTGTCGATATTTGCTCAAATATCTATATATTAATGGAATATAAACCTTGTAGTTAACTATTTCTATGATTATCATGTAGTGTCCAAACAGACATTTGCTCTTTTATATAATAGTGCTCTCTTCTATTGCAGTGTTAAAGTTATGCACTGTGTCTTGCTAAAGTCCGTAAAAGCGAAGGAGGACGAAGGATGATAGGCTTCTTTTCCCTCTCTCGAAAATATAATTGAAATTATAGCCTCTTCTAGACATGGATGGGCTACTACTACTTTTCCCTTTCTTCTTTAAGAATCACAAGCAAGATCAGAATGAAATAAGGTATAAATACATACTTTCTACACTGCTATTAGTCGGCTGCTTTCATCGCGTTGAAACTCAGAATGACTCATTCTCTTATATAAAGGTCCATGCAGTTGTTCTCACGCTCTATCTCCCTTCCATCTTCAAAGTTAATATGAGTTCTGAAAGAGCCTCTTGGAATATTAAAGCATCAAGAACAGCTAACCAAGCCCATAATCCCATTCGTGCTATAGTCGATAAACTTAAAGTAGATCCCAATGCCACCAAGCCTTTGATTAGTCTTTCAATTGGTAAACACATATATATATATAGAATGAGATTGCCTGGTTACTGACATTTGACATTAGGCGATCCTACAATCTTTGGCAATTTCAATGTTGATCCCAGCATCAATGACGCTGTTATAAAGCAAATCAACAGTTATCGCGCTAATGGTTACCCACCTGCTGACGGTAAGACGCATAGTATGATAAAAAGAGAGCGACAGAAAATAACATTATGACAATAGGCACCCTTGATGCACGTACAGCAGTAGCCAAAGCACACACCCATCCTAATGCTCCTCTCACAGCAAGCGATGTTATCTTGGCCAATGGATGCTCAGGGGCTCTTGAAATGTGTGTCAATGTGCTTTGTAACGAAGGAACAAACATTCTATTGCCTCGTCCAGGGTTCTCACTTTATGGTACACTGGCTGCTACACGCTTTGTTGAAGCCAAATACTATAACTTAATCCCAGAGAAAAATTGGGAAGCTGACCTAAAGCATTTGGAATCTTTAATTGATGAAAAAACAAGCGCTATTTTAGTAAACAAGTAAGGAGAAAGAGAAGTAGCATGTACAGATCATATTTAAACCAATTATGTAGTCCTTCCAATCCTTGTGGCTCAGTCTACTCTCGCGAACATCTTGAAGCTATTCTCAAGGTGGCTGAAAAGCACCATGTGCCCATAATTGCTGATGAAATATATTGTGATCTTGTCTTCAAGGGCAATACATTCTATCCTATGGCCACCTTGACCTCTACTGTACCCATCTTATCCGTAGGCGGTCTTGCCAAAAAATGGCTTGTTCCTGGCTGGAGAGTTGGTTGGATCCTTATTCATGATCGACAAGGTGTATTTAGAGAGATCCACGAGGGCCTTCACCAATTGGCCCAAGTGATTCTTGGTCCCAACTCACTTATTCAATCTGCTCTTCCTGATATTCTTGAAAAAACACCTGCTTCATTCTATGAATCAACAATACAGCAAATCCAGGTAAATAGTCAACTACAAACAAACAAAAGTACATAAATTGATTCTGCTATTTTATTTAGGCCAATGTTGATCTAAGCATGAAGATCATTGGCCGTATAGATGGTCTTAAACCCGTGACACCCCAAGGTGCTATGTATATGATGGTCGGTATTGAAATAGAAAAGTTTAAAGATATCGAATCCGATGTTGATTTCAGCGCAAAATTGCTTGCAGAAGAGAATGTCGTTTGCTTACCAGGAGAGGTAAAATGAACAAAAAAACCTGTTTAGGATGTACGCACTAAGCCTTTATATTAATAGTGCTTTAAATATCCAAACTTTGTCCGTTTCGTCATCACACCTACGATCGATAAACTAGAAGAAGCATACAAGCGAATTGAAGCATTCTGTGATAAACATCGTAAATAAATAAGCTATTATTGTATTAGGAGGTGCCTTTCTGTTGTCTTCTTTTTTTTTTCCAGGGAGAATTATAAGGTATAAGGAGTAATCAAATGCACACACAAAAAGTCTTTTTTTTTCCGCATATCCCTTTTGTTTCTGCGTCGATCTCCCTATCCTCTCCTCTTCTCCCCTTTAGTTCTACTGATAATGTTTAGTTTAAATGTTTGCATATGTGTGTGTATTATGTATATATAGGGAGTTCGTTTTAAATTTGAGAAAAAGATGTATCCTTTTGTTTCTTTTTTTCACTTGTTCTTTTACTTTTAATAGTACATGTTCACTCTTTATTTAATCTTACTCTTTTCAATCGCTCTACCCTCTTTAGCGCAATCCGAAGGTGGTACAATAGCCTCAGTAGCCGCCTCAGGAACATCTGCCTCTGCTTACTCATGCGACCCTCAGTCGTGTAAGATTGCAAATAACTGTCTCTGTGCTTCAAAGAATCCACCTAATGGTCTGTCACCCAGCGAGACGCCTCAATTTGTCACAGTCACCTTTGATGACTCTATTCAACCTCAATTATACAAAACGGCAAAAAGGATGCTGAATATCACGTAATAAGCTGAATCATTCATGAGTTCTTACAATTAATTTCTTCTTCTAGGAACCCTAATGGTTGTCCTGCTCGTGGTACCTGGTTTGTTTCTATGCAATACACAGACTTTTCTCTCGTACAACAATGGTATTCCTCTGGAAACGAAATTGCAGAGTAAAAACTGAGGAATCAAGTCTGCTATACTATGTTATTAATCTCTTGTTTAATAGCCATACATTTACACACGTAGGGAACCCATCTGATCGTAAGTTGTTAAATGGTTTATTTGTGATAAGTGAATCTAACGTGATATGCATAGAGGAAATCCTTAGCTGTAAACAGATGCTTAATACCTATGGTGGCGTACCTAATGGCAAGATACAAGGATTTAGAGCACCTTTTCTAAACTATACAGTTGATACCCTCAATCGTATATCAAAGCTGGGACTTTTGTATGATTCGAGTGCTAGTGCTTTACAAGATGACGCTTATTGGCCATACACATTGGATTATGGCATGGCAAACGATTGCTGGACTGGCATATGTTCTCAAAATAGTAAGATTCCTGGCCTTTGGGAAATTCCAATGTATTCTGTTCTTGATAATGTTAGTACACCTCAGTTGATGGATGTGTACCTTGCTGGGCAACCTGAAGACGTGACTAAATGTACGGATTAAAAGAAAAAGTAAAAAAAAAAAAAAATACAAGACTTATGGGAAACTTACTATAGGGAGTCTCGAAGCATTTGAAAAGCATTATAGAGGAGGAAGACAGCCTTTTGGTATCTATGTTCATCCAAGTAAGTTTTATTTAAGAAAATAGTAAGCAATATACCAATCGTCTCTTCTTTGCTAGCTCATTTAACTGGTTATCCTGGTTTGCCTGACCCCACCCCAAAGCTGGATGGTTTGATTTCCTTCATCAAGACACTCTCAGAGAAGCCTGATGTGTGGTTTGTTACTAATCAGCAATTGATTCAATGGATGAAGAATCCAGTGAAGGCTAGTGAATTAAGTTCTCAAGACTACATGCGTTGTTCACAGCCAGTCATCACAAAAGAAATATGTAATGGCTTGGACGACGATAATAACTCTGTGGTAGATGATAACCTTTTAAACAAGTAAGCCTTTTTTTGCTTGACTCGCTGCATGTATACTTATCAATGTATCCTCTTTTACAGTTGTAATTTTGGCACAACATCCTTTAACACATGCTTCAACTGTCCAAGTACAGCTCCTACACTTGATAATCCAGTACCTACAGGTAGCTCTGACAAGCCTGTGTCAGGAGCCAGATACCCTCTTCCAAATAATTGCGAGTAAGTCTTTAAGACATAGATCATATCCCTTACTTATGCATCTTTACTAGCACCAAATGGTGGGACCCTATCGGCAACACATGTCTTTGTTCCTCGACCGAGTGTCAATATAAAGATACTGCTATACCAGTCAATCGCACAACAAACGGAAACGGTGTGTCTCCTAATGGCTCCTCTTCTGTGAGTGGATCGATCAAGATTGGTTATGACTTGGCATATCTTTCTGGCTTGATCCTCTTCGTGTTGTTTCATCAAATTGTTTAAGTAAAGTTATAAAAAAAAGAAGATACCAGTGCATGAACGATAGTATATATAAAATAAATTCTCTCTCTTTTAAAGAAAATGCCTTGTTTCTTTTGTAAAAAAAAAAGTATCTTTCTTAAGTAAACATACGATAGATATATCGCAAGATAGTAAAATTGTTAAACAAGAAGAGTAGAGAGAAAGTGCAAGATAACAGGGTTGATACAGTTCCTGGGCTATATACGATTTACTTACACCCTCGTTACAATCAACTGGATACAGTAAATTTCTTTCTTGTAGATTGTGTCAATGGATGCAGCCTTGTTATTTTTAATGATAGAATTCAATGTATTCGAGCATTCTACAATTATCTCGGGAGTGTCTTCCGACGTGTGTGAAATAGATTCTTTTTTGATGTCACCACTTGATTCAATAAGAAGTCCTTCGTCAATTGTTGTCACTTCTTTCGCGATTTCCAATTAGTCGAGGATGTTGCTTGTAATTGGAAGTAAAATCCGTGAATGACAGAGCTACAATTCTTGCAAATTTCTCTGTCAACCCAATAGAGCTACTATGTATTGGGTAACTCCAAGCAACACAAGGTAAGCTATCGATATCACTGCCAAGACACTTTTCGATGATCTTAATGGCTTTAGGAGATTCTTTTAGTGATTTGAATTCAGCTTGGCTAACTGTATTCAACCTGTATTCCATCATTTCTTCCGCATCATTAAAGTCGGTGTTGTTTTCTAAAGACTTCATTCCTATAGCACAAACGCCTTTTATCTTTGATTTGTGAGGCGTTGTCAAATAGGTGACTGGATTATAAATGGTAAACATCCTTTGTTTCTTTTGTAAAACTCTTTCCTAAATAATTGATAATTAACAAAAAGCCGATATCTTTTTTGTTTAAACTTATCCTGTTCACTTTTTGTGCGGTGAATGCATAATCTGTGACAACAGAAAACACAGTATCAGTACCATTAGTGATACTATTGTCAATAATCGTATCGGTTTTTAGGGCGCCAGCGTTCGCGGTATTGGCATTGCCCTTATCAACGTTGGAGGCATCCTCAGAAGCAGCATTATGTGTGTTTTCATCTAAGGGAAATACTACATGCGCCAGAAAATACACCAGAAGTTAGGCTAATCTTGTGGGCGCTACCTTTACCCACTACTTGTAATGCCGTCACCAAACCTTTTCAATGGCTAGCGCCAAGCTAAACATGACTTTATAAAGTCATCACCTTGTTTTTTTTTTTGTTTTTTTTTTTCAGGAAGAAGAGATAAAGAAATGCTTTTATTTTAATTTTAATTTTATGTTGTCAGTTTGTTCAACAAAGAATCAAGATCAATCACGTGTAATTATGATAACTTTGTATTTGCATTATTTATCCTATTTTCTAGTGCATGTAGTATTGGCCTTGTGTGAATTTCTGTGTAAATTGAGTTGTAGCTGAAGATAACAATTTCATCCCACTGAGTAAGCAAGTTTGAGTTGTTGCGATATTTTGTAAAAGGCGTTCCGAAATTATTGTTCTCGTTATAGCTTTTGAACGTCTCTTTACTTGGTGCTTTTGTAAAACTTTGAACTTTTGCAAAAAAAAAAGCTTTCTTTGCTTTGCCTGCTGCTAAAGCATCAGCATATTGTAAGAATAAAAACGGACAGTGTACTTAGGCGAGGAAATCAAGTCGTAATTGACTTGCATTCCTGCCTGAGCTCTGGATTTAAGTTCAATTTGGATAATTTATTTGAAGCCACATTGTTCTCTATATAAAGAAATTTGGTCAATGATCTATCCTTACTCAACACGGATAACTTACTGATATCTACATCTGTGAATATATATTAAAGAACGGCGCAAGCTGCAATGCGCCTGTGTAGTGCACCAAATTTCGGACTAATGCTAGGCACATGCCCTAATAATGATATTAGTTATATCACTTTTTTTTTGGTTTTTTCCACTTACTAAATTAGTAGGCCTAATGAAAAGGCTGGATGACCTGCTTTAAAGGCCCTGCACAGTTCGTGTGCCTCTCTGAAGCGACTCTAATCTTGACTGAATGTTAAAATTAGAAGAAATATAATTTGTCAATATTGAACGGATATTTCTTGCTGCATTCACATCTAGATTCCAGATCTATTCGAGTATCATTAATTTGGAGCTCTTGAACAGATAAAAACAATCTTACTCTGACTGCGTCACCAATTGAATAATAGTGACATATTTTCAATGGGTAGATGCTGTTACTTCTTTCTATATTTATTGTTTGCCAATCTTTTACCACCCTAAGCGTTCTTGTCAACTACCTGCATTTCTGCGCTCAACGTGCTTACTGCTCTTGCATATTACTTTTTGTCGGATCCTAAACAGCTTAATCTACTTTTTCTTTCACTGGGCAGCATCCTCTTTCTCTTTCTCTGTAAACAGTTTATATCAGTCATTCTTAAAACATTAGATAAATGTAGTAAGTCATACCTGTGATTACAGATCAAAGCGCTTTCTGGCTCATAAACCTTCTGAAGTTCACCATGGCAGCTACCACACATTACGCTCGTTCTGTATTCATCTACTTTAATGACTAAACATTTCTTTGAAAGCGCCATTTGGATCCCCTTGAAGATCAATAAGTTAGCTGTCCAAATTCAGTAATAGCCACATAGTATTAATAATTACCTTCACCAGAATTGGGGCTCTTGACTTCATCGTCACAGAAATAGATGCATCTCCATATGCAACTACACATCGTCTATCTTCTTCAGCCACTGACAGATATTCCTTTATTTTTTCCTTCCTTTTCTTGTGTGTCTTAGGAGTCAGCATAGACGGAATTGGTTTTCTTTTATCTAGTTTGACGATTATCATGTCGGCAACATTGTTCAGGGCTATTCGCTTGTTCGAATGCATATATCCTCGATTCCCTCGATGCTTATAACTTTTATTAAAGTTGAATATCCTACAAATATTAGCATATCAAGGAGTATAATCAATTGAGACGCATGACTTTTTGATGGAATCTGATTTAAATTAACAGCAGCTTACTTGTAGTTTGTGTAAATAATGATAAAATATCATACTTTTCCAATTTCGTGTATAGTTTTAGTTTAAGGAGAAGAAAAAACCAAGTTCTTATAAAAAGGGGCATTCAGGTTAGCGTAACTGCTTGTTCTGTTTTGGAAACATGCTTCACTGAACTGTTAGATTAGTTAACTACGTGAAAAGAATATCAATCTTCAAGAGGAATACAGTCTCCATCGTACACTAAAGTTTATACCATAATCATTCTTTCTTTAGACATGGCGATTGGATAAAAACAACAGCAGCAAGCTTAACAGATAGCCACTAGGAATATTCTATAGAAGGGTTTTTATAATTAAAGCTTTTTAATACAATCAATAAAGATGTTTGGGATAATGGAAATACGTAGAGTAGAAATAAGAAAAAGATAGAAGTACTGTTAGAACTGTGTATATCCTTTTGATAGAAAAGATATAACAAGAATATGATACCCTTATTGATATGAAAAATCCTCTATATATACTTTTTCTTCAACAGATAAATCTAGTTGTGGTATTTACACACTAGATACATCGTACACATAACATATATTAGTTTAGAGATTCACCTATATAAATGGTCTAGAAGTCTTACTGAGGTATAACTGCAAGGATAACACTTTGATATTAAATGAAAAACCTCCACAAAGTATAGAAAAGTAAAACCCTTACACATCAATAACCATATATAAGTCAATAAGACATTTACTTAATAAACGCACTATTCTTTTGTCCTATTGATTTTTACGTTTAACACTTTTTATATTCAACAAATATCACAATAAGAAATAAAGCTTGGTTTTGCAAATGCAGGATATTTTCTTGTAGTGCGCGCACAACATTTGAAAGTATGGATTCCTGTTCGTGACGTCACCACAGCAACACTGTGGCGCCTTGAGCTGCTTGCAGCATTTAGCCCTTGGGACACTGGCGCAAAAAGCGTGCGGGGTAAAAAAAAAAAAAGACGACTCTCTCTCTACTCTTTTTGATTTCCTTGACTTATAATGGGTGCTTCTCAATCAAAAGCTGCTGAACCCATCATTTTCTATAACCAAAGCCCTCCTCTTCAGGTAAATTCTTTTGCGAAATGTGAAATACAAGACAGGCTAACCTCACCAGTTTAGACATTTTCTCCTTTAGAGACACAACAAGAAGCACCAAAAGTAAAGAAATAGTCTTAAAAAAAAAGCCAAGTTGAGAAACTCATTTTATATGTATATAGCAGCATGTGTCAGCAGAATCTAAAGAAAAAATAGAAGCCCTTGTGCAAAAACGTGTAGCTGAAGAACTTAATCGCCTAAGACAACAACAAGAGCAAAACAACCAACAAACCTATAGTGAATTAGCAAAGAAAAATATTGAAAACGATTATAATTCGATTGCAATGAAAGAAGATATTGAAGACATGATTGCAAAAATGAAGAGGTAGACAGCTTACACACCATAGAGAAACTGCTATTGACACTTTAAATAGAACACCACCTGCTGATATTCCAAAAGACGTCGCAGAGCGCCAGGAAGCACTCATTGTTTGCTACAGGTAACAAGAAATAAGAAATAAAACGACGTGCGTACTCACTGCAAATCTTTTTCCAATTTAGGAATAATCAAACAAGACCCTTAGACTGTTGGGCAGAAGTAGAAGAGTTCAAAAATGTAGTAGCACACGAACAAAGAAAGTTTGTGGCCAACCATCAACGTTAATCAATAAAGTTTATTATTGTTTGTTGTAAAGCTTGATGCCATGAAGGTGTTTTTTCTAATATCTTGAGTCTATGTTGGCAGATTGACAACATCGTTTCCTTGCACTTTTCCACCAATTGCTTATCTTCTGTCTTGTGAATACCAGGAATATTAGTAGAATGACGAACATAGGACCAAATGACTTGATATAACAGATCGCCCAGCTCTTTGGCTGACAGAAAGGGGAATAGACGATAAGAATTTACAAGCACTTGAGGGAGGCTCTAAAACGAACAGGTTAACCTTTATCAACCAAATATACATGTGTTCTTACCGGTTTCAACAACAGCACAAGTCGGATAGTCTCTTCTAATTGAGTGGCATATGTCAACGTAGTTGGAACGGTAACTACTTCTTTCATGTTCCAAAAGACGATAAAGTAAACTAGAATGCTTCGAATGATATCATTTGTTGTGGCAGGCTTGACTACCTGAATACATTTCTCGAATATGGGAAATAGAGCCGGGTGGTCCTTGAACGCATTGCCGATAGTAATGTCCCTATGTACATAATCAATATCATTGTGCACAGAAGGAATTATTTTGGTTTTTTACCATGGATAAGGAATATTTCTGGGTAGTGCATCATCATAGGCTGCCATGGGAGCTGATGAGGGTGACCATTTGGATGACAAAAAGAACAATATGTGGTGGTGAATGTCACTGTATTGCTCTACAAGGCAATGAATATAAATGACATGCTTAGCTTTATAGTATGTATGGATTTGTACCTGAAGAGACGCAATCCTTAAACTTGTCAAATAATGAAGCAGTCTGTTCAATGTTATCCATATAGATTTTGTCGCGTTTATCTCTTTTATGTAACATAAAGTAAGCTCTTTCATTCTACGCACGTCAAGAAGTTTTCTTACATGTCCTGTTTCAAAATGTCTACAAGGGTAACAAACTTTGGAGGCTTCTTTGCCTGTGACTGAGAAGTAGCATGTTCTTTACTATGAATTCTATCAAATAAGGAAGATTGTTGTTGTTGCAAAGTGTCTACGTCTATTGTTGGAAATATTTCAAGTGCGCCATTCAAGATATATTCGACAACTACAGATAGAATGGCTTTGCCAAATGCTATGTTTTGACAGCAATTGACAACTAGAGAAGGAGAGCATAATAATTAGTATTATGATTATACAAACTATGCTTTTTTTTTTTTTTTTGTATATCAAGTAAATCTTTGCTCTCTTGTCCAAAATATCTTCCTTTCAAGTGCCTGAACCAAGCATCTACCAGTAGCTGACTCAGATGCTCTTGATCTTGTGGATTCATCTGCTGATAAAATTTTGAATTATTCAATACACGGTATCCCATCACCCGGCACGCTGCCGAAGGATGGTTGATAAAGACGAGAAGAACTTGACGAGAATGTGAGTTGATGTATGTATGAAAGGCTTGATAGCCTGGTTCTTTTTGGCTGTCTTCATAAAGCGCGGCTAAATTGCCCAGAATCTTTTCAATTTGTGTAGTATTGGCGATGTGAATAGCGATTGTCTTTGAAAAGATGTTTTCCAAGGCGATTCTAATAAAATGGTGTAAGCTCTATACATGATTACAGCAATCAAAAGCTTACTGAAATATGCCTGGCCATTTGGATTCTGCAGTAGGTATCAGTTTCAATACTAAATCTTTAGCACAATTTAGCCTGGTTATCAACTGAACAAAAAGGTTGGCAGTGTACTCTTTGGAGTCGTTGTTGATCATGATCAACTGGAGTAGAAACAGAGGTATCCGTAAATCGTCTGGTGCTGTTCTACTATTGATCCAGTCAAATAGATCAATGGATGCAGGCTCCAGGTTTAATTGCTTAATAGAAGGCTGCAGGGTATCTAGTATAGATCTATCTCCAGTCTATGCATATCATCAATAACACACACAGTACAGTATTTCTCTTTCTTACAGGTAAAAGATGGCTGAGATCCAACCTTGAGTCATATGCAAGTGTGTCAAGCATGATCATCACATCCATAGCATGACGCATAATATATCCTTTCGAATCAAAAGCAACTGTTGCTAACCAACGAGAAAACAGATGCGATATAGGCTCAATTTCTCTAAAATGAGATGATTTATTAGCGCGCCTTTGCCTTTATAAAGAAATACTTGCCCGTCCTTATTTTTTGCAATAGAACTCGATGTGTTTTTTTCATGATAAAATATGCTCCCGGCCGTATTATTTTCATATATCAAATTGAACATACTCGACCACGATTCTAAAGCAAAGTCAGTTGTGTGTATCTTCTAGCGCGAAATTTAGAGCATTTTACCATTCAGTAAAGCAGGCGATATTTTAGGTAAGGAAAGCAAATAGCCAAGGGTAAACTTTTGAAAGTCTAGTCGATTGTTGACAAAAAACATGTTGATCATTGTAATAAAAAGTTACCTGTTGATAATACAGAAGGATCCGATATCCATTCAAGATAGCGTTTTTGAATGGTCGTGAGTGACTCGACAGTTTGACTTGGATGAGCGCTCAATAAGTGTTGGAATAAGCTATTTCCTATATGAATCAGACTGGTTTGGTCCTCATTTATAATATCTTCTCCATTTCTATACATAATAAATTATTAGTTTCGCTGTAATTATATATTTTCAAGTTCCTATGTACTTTGATCCAAGAAAGGGGTTGCCATAGACAGATAAACCAAGGACAAGATACTCGTGAATTTGAGGAAGAACGTGATGAGGAAGTTTTTCGCCTATCAAGTTTAACAGCCAAGTCATTTCCTTTGCATCTGCACGAATGAGCTATAGGACATGACGAACGGATGTTATTAAAAAGAAAGAAAGGGGTCTATAGCAAGCTTACTTCGAAGAAAGCATGAAGAACACTTGTGCCTGTTGCTTCATGAAATGAAATAATATCTGTCAAAAGATGAACAAGTGCATCATTGATAGGATCTGCAGTTGCTTTATATTGTCTTTTCTTTAATATGTCAACAATCCACTAGAATAAAAAGAAAGATAAGCACGCACACACACACCAAGAAAAACAACAGAATGCTCACAGTAACCAAACTTGTCTTTTCTTGAACCATAAATCTTTTTAATTTTTTTATTGACAAGACAAGAGGCTTTTGGTCCTGATTAAGTATTTTCGACTGAGTTGGTTGACATTTAAGAATGGATACACTTAGACTCTCCAAATCGATCATAATGTTGGAAAAAAGAAAGAAAGAAAAAGGACAGCATACAGAGACGTGTATTTGAGTGTGTGTGTGACTGGAAATTGCAGCTTGTTTAAAAGTCAAATGTGATTGGCTAATAAGGCTAGCTACCTAGTTAAAGCTTTCATCTCAAGCGGGGCGCTTTCACTAGATAGTTGCAAATATTATGCGTCCAATTGGGTTCGTTAAAGATTTATCACAATGCATAGCTTTAGAAAATTTTTTACAAGTGACACTTTTTTTTCAAAAGCAGCAGATATTTCACACTTGTATTTTTTCTCTCTCTCCTCTTTTTGTTCTAATTCATCCGAGTGAAAATGTCTGATTCAAAACAAGAGCAAACGTCATGTAAACTATTAAATAATACATCCTCTTTTTTTCTTTGCCTTGTGAAAAAAGAAAAAGAGACACTTGATTAAGCAATGAACTTAAACTGTATTTAAAGATGAAGAATATGCACAGCAATATCAAGACTATTATAACTATTATTATGATAGTAATGGTAGTCATAATAACAATACTAGTAATGCAAACTATGACTACCATGATGCACAAGGAAGTGATGCATACAATAATGACAATAAATCCGATTATCAAACGGATAGAACCGACAATAGAGGCTATAGAAGCAATTACTCTAGTCGATACGGCAGCAACAACAACAATAACAATAACAGTGGCAGTAGTTATAATAATAGCAGATATAACAGTAGCAGTAATAGCAATGGTAACACACACATATTATAGAGTATCCAATGAGATATATATATTAATACATGTAAAAATAGGCATGCATAGAATGGAAGACACTATCTACATTAGCAATTTACCGCAAGATGTCACAGAAGAGAAACTTGCAGAACATTTTGGTTCGATTGGGATTATTAAAACAGACAAGAAATTGAGAAAACCAAAAAGTAAAGAAATAATAAACATTGAAATCATAAAGTGACTAATAAGAACACCCTTAGTCTGGATTTATATGGACAAGGCAACTAACCTTCCTAAAGGAGATGGTATGTTCATACAATATGCATAAAAGAAAAGGTATTAAAAAGGGTTCACTATAGCAACCATTACGTATGACGACCCTCCTTCTGCTGATGCCGCTATTAATTGGTTTGGAGGAAAAGAATTTATGGGAAATGTGATTCAAGTGAGCAAGGCTGAACGAAAGATGAACAGTATGTATAAAATAAAATTATTATATATATATATATATACTCACACCCTCAATCAGTTGACAGAGGTCGTGGTGGTTTCAGCAATAGAGGAGGAGGAAGAGGTAGAGGAGGCGACCGTAACAGTGCTGCCAGAGATGGAGATTGGTCTTGTGAAGAGTAAATATTAAAAGAAAAAATTGAACATTTGACTGATTGTATTGTTTGTTATAGATGCGGCGCAAATAATTTCTCAAGAAGAGATGAGTGTTTCAGTTGTCACAAACCAAGACAAGGAAAGAGACATGACGACAGAAGAGGTGATGATAGGAGAGGTGATGACAGAAGAGGTGATGACAGAAGAGGCGATTACAGAGGCAACCGTTCTCATCGACGTGATCGTCCTTATTAAGAAGAATAAAGCAAAGAAATGCGCTTATGATGTGTATACGTGTGCATTCAATAAAAAAGAAAGCTAGTCTCCACATGAGAATACTACTATTGTTACCCTTGTTTCCTTGATGATTCATAAGGTCTTTGGTCAAATATGTGTTTTGCTTAAAAAATACCCTAGACTCACTTTGCATTTGAAAGCTGGAAGGGGCCTATTTTTTAAACTATAATGGTGGTATATGTTCTACTGTGCTAATAGCAATGCTCCCCTTACAATAAATGACTGATATAAGGTAACAAGAACATATTACAGTAACTACGATCGCCTTCTCCACAACACAGATTTTGTCAAAGACAATAGCATCAAGAAGTTGATGAACTGTCTGGAAATAACAAAGATAAGACGGTTGGTATCTAGACTGCACTTAAGTGCTTATCCACTTTAATTTACTCTCATAGCCTGTACCTCTCGCTCAAAAAGACCATAAAAGAAAATAGCATTAGGAAGTCAGCCGGCAAGATGGTCAACATCCTCGCACAACGACAAACAATCAAAATGTTGGCGAAACGAAGACAAGTAATCGACGCATTGGTGTTCCTTTTTAATTCCATGAAGTCTATCACATCCAAAAAATCAAAAAGAAATTGAATATCCATGTTATGCTTGCTTGAAAGATATAAGGGGAAAAGACAAAGATCTATTATAATTTTATATGCAAGCAAAGCGTGAGAGCATCCATCACATTATCCCTTTTTGTTTCGCCAACATTTTGATTTTAATGTA